ACATACGATATTATGTGGTCTTATGGCGTTCAATTGTACCGTATGAGTAAGAAGGCAGGTGCGTTGAAAACAAAACCAAAAAATAACATTTGAAATTTTTATCTAAAATTATGAAATAAGCAATTTTATTCTTAACAAACTAAAGTAAAACATGTATAGACATGCAAGTATATTTTAATAATAGAAGAAAAAAAAAAGAAGAAAAAGAAAGAAAAAATATCAAAAAAAAGAGTCTTTTTTGGATGCTTGATCCTCATTAAATATTAGAATTTACCAAGAAATTGATGATGAAATTAATAGAAAATATTTTTTAATATTGAAGGAAATTTCAAGTATTGATATTAAATTGTGTAAGTATTTTAATAAAATAAAGTTTCTTTGTAGCCCTTTAGTCTTTGCCCAGTTACTTTTTCTTAAAAAATTTACAAAATGTGGTGGTGTCAATAATTGTACTTTTCCAATTTAATAATAGGAATTCATCGAAAATTTGGTCATTTATTAACACCCCCATTTAGTCATTATTGACAATTGTAGAGGTAAGTGGATTAAAGGGTTAACTAACATTTTTACGAAAATCGAGCTTTTCAGATATAGAAACTTAATAGAATTACTCTTATAGTTAGAAACTTAATAGAAGACGAGATTGACAGTGTACATAAGAGTTAAGTAACAAAAAAATTAATATTTTTATAATTTGTTAATTAAAAAATGTGTTAAGACGCAAATGTAAGTTAACTCCTTTGTTCAATTGATTAATATTTTTTTTTTAATTTTTATTTCACAAGTATAAAATTAGACACACATACGAGTATATTTATTCAAAAGATGCAACAATTACATTACAAATATTACAGGAACCTTAAAAATTACTAAATTTACATATTGAAGTTCTTAATGATTTTCACTAATTTTTACCAATTAAATAAATTAATTAAGTAATAAAATTAAAAAGGTCAAATAAGAATTCATAAATAATTTTTGTGTCTAATAAATTATAAATACCCGAAAATCGCTATAGCAATTGGGGTGTCAATAATTGTCACGCTATTATGTCGAAATTCCAGATTAAGATTTTTCAAATAAAAACAAATTCCCCTTGCAATATGCAATGAAAATATTTTGACAATTTCTTTATTTACCTACATAAATACATAAATTATCAAATTGTTTTCGTAATATAATTTTAAATGATATTTTATTCGTATAGTAAATAAAATAACTGAAGGTAAATTAATTACTTAAAACTTTTATACTATATAATAAAATACTTAAATATTTTCAAATTTGTCCTTAAAATTTGTTTACATTTTTTACAAGTACCTTTTGTGTATAAATAAATATTTATGACTAATATATAAAACTTTCATACACCTACTTGTATATGATTCCCTATACTAAAACACACATGTTGTATAACATAGTTGATGTGAATACATATATATGTGTATGTATGAGAAATAATTAAGAGTTTTTTAAATAAAACTATAAAATTTGGTTGAAATTTATATAACATGTGTAACTACATATACATATATGTACATGTTAATATTCCTCATGTGCATAAAATTTATTTTTCATAACAATACCTGTACTATTTATTTGACCATGTTAAAATTATTTATAACGTAAGTTCAATTAAACTACGAGATATTGTGTAAGTTTATAACAAAACCACACAAAAAATATAAAATGTGCAAAAATACGCTTAATCTTAAGCAAAATTCTATTTCTATATACATTAATTAAGTATATTCATATATATATATATATATATATATATATTATGTATATATACTTACATTTCAGATATATTAACATGCTTGACCATGATCCAATTTTATTTTTTGACAATTTTATTAATTTTTTAGTGTACGCTTCTCTTTTTATTTTTATTTTTATGATTATTATTATAAATATGTAAATATTTTGCAATTCATCCAGCTAAAATGCATGGTAGGTACCTTTTCAAAAGAAAAAAAAAAAGAAGTAAGAAATTCAGTACATACCTACAAGTATTTTGCTATATATGTAACATAAACAAAATAATATACGCGTACATACATACAACACATTAATTGAACTTAACATTTTGCCATTTTCTTTTTTTTTTTTACAATAATAAACAAAATTTTCATTAAAATGTTGGGTATTATGGTTTTGTTTCAACGTTTCTTCAAATTACTACCGCAGTTAATAGGAAGAACGGTTTCTTATATGTAAATTCTGTTATATAGAAATTTATATATCAAAAATTTTAAATTTATTTTTCATATAAAAATATTTAAAGCCATTTGAGAGGATAATTTTGGTTCCTCAACTTCTATTTTGTATTAACACGTTCTCAATTTCTATGTGGTGTTGATTACCGTTATTGTTATAAAAGGTATAAGCTGGTAGTTTTATTGGTATTGAAATATCTATTTTTTACCTATTTTTAGAAATTACTGTGATAACAATTATATTTAGAATGACGCTCTTTAAAACACAGATTGTACCTATTCCAAATGAGATTAGGTCATCCTATATAACAAAAATATACTTCCACAAAGTTTTATGACTTTAAATGTTGTTTAGTATTTATATAGAAGTTATAATATTACAAAATTGACACACTTTTCTTTCTGTATTATTCAAATAACGATTTCTTCTATAAGATTTCGTCTCCGTCCTATAGAACATTTATTGTTTTTTTTTGTCCAAAAACATAGAATTAATCTGATGTTTGTGGTTTATAATTTCAATCCTTTTCAATTATATTTTAATCTTTTCGATTATTGTGCTTTTTTTAACATGTTTTTAAAACATTAACAATTTGTAGCCCCCCAACACTCCTTTCCCTACCATATATTACTTCTTTACCATAATCTTATATAACTTTTTCCTTATGAAAGCGATTTGCTTTTGAGGCGGGCTGGTTTAATTTCAAGGGTAATAATTAACACAAACAAATAACCACATGAACTACTTCATTTCTAAAATTCATTATTATTAATAAAAAAAAAAAATAAATAGATGTGTATTATAAAATCCAACAATTAAAAATCTTTTCTCCAACCCTCAAAATACTTAGGTACATATGTACTTGTTTTCACATCACGTAAAGATAATGCGTAAATAGTATATCTGATAGTATTCAGTAAAAATTCACATATGAGGTAAATTTTTATTCTGTTTCTTGCAATAGTGCGGCCAAGGTAACAAAAGAAATACCAGAAAACGAAAGTAATATAAAAATATTAATCAGCTGCTTTATCATTGTTTTTTTTTTGTTTTTCATGACATAACCGTTAAATAAATCTGATCAGGTATTTTATTTTACAGTTACATCAATTTTTTTATTATTATTAAATTTTAAAAAATTAACCAAATAAATTCCAACCAAGTTTATAATATTAAAATAAACGGAATGATTTATATTTTGCATACAATGTAATATTGAACATTCTTGTATACCTACATTATGTATAAGAGTGATGTCTGTACAACTTTTGCATCGGTTTCTGCAAAATAGTGGATTAAGGAATGTTTTTCTTGAGAATTCAATAAAAAAAAATCGTTACGTTAATTAAAATTGTATTGATGTTATCTGATATATTAATAAAGAATTTTTTTGTGTTAAAACATAGAAGCTATAGATAATTTTACAATACGTACATAGTACTCAAATGTGCAGTAGTTATGCAATGTGCAATAGCACAGTGCAAAACTAATTAGTCAATAATCAATCATTAACTAAAAAACCAAAAATTTGCAATTTTAGGAAACTTAAAATTGCATATATTTAGGAACTCGAAAATTAAAGATTTGAAATAAAATAAAACTACTTTTTCTTCAATAACGACTCTTTATTACATTATTACTGATCTGGTTGAACAATATGAAATTTTCACATAATTAATATTTAAATCTTATTTCTAGTAAAAGCATAATTATTAAAATTTACTTATTACTGCGACCCTAATTTTATATACTTCTGTAGAAAGTTTGAGACGGAAAATGATTTGATGAAAGTAATAAACAATTATCAAAGTGTTCGATTATTTATTCAAGAAAGATTACAAATCAAATATTTTAGATATAAAATTGTGCATTCTATTATTTTTGAAATGTTTTCATGACAGATTTTTGATTAAATATTTATTATTTTCCATTAATATTTTATAAAATTTTCGTGCTCAAGATTTCATTAACAAAAGATCATATTATTTTTGTTACATGACAATTTGATTCTCTATTAAAGGTAATAGTGATACTCGATCATTTGATGCTCGAATTATTTTCACAAATTATTGTGTAAGATTTTTAGTACTACTTTTCATTTTCAAATTAATTTTAATTAGTGGTAATAATAGAAAAAAGAAAAATTTTAAATCTAATAACATTGATAAATATTTTAACGAAATAACTGGGTAATTAATTAAATAATTTTGAAATTTTTTATTTTCTTCCACAGTAGTTTTCATATCAAATATGATTCCAAATTTTAATTTATACAAATTTACTATTTTAGTAACAAATAATAATTATAGATTTTCATAAAATTTAGTACACAAGCTGCATTTTGTAGGATCAATTCACACATTATACCTTTGCATCAAACTTTTTTTGAGGTTTTTGTTAGTTAGTCGTCATAGTGGAAAAAATAAAAGCAGTTCCGATTGACGAACCATGTTTTATAGACCTAACATACATTGTTTTATATAACCTTTGTTGTCTATTTATTGAATTGAAGTACAATTTTCAAATATGTAGAGTGTAATACTAATATTACTACATTGAGAAAAGTAGTACTTTTTACTATTTTTAATTATTTTATCTCAAAATAAGCATAAATAAATTTTGACGCAAAATGTCAATTTTTTGAATGAAATGTGTTTTCATTCAAAATGAATGAAATTTATTATAATAGATGGCGCAAAACTTTAATCTATAACTAAATTTTTTGCTTTTGAAATATGTCAATTTTGACAAAAACTACCAGTAATCATCAATAACTAGTATAGTAATAGTTTGGATGTGCCGGGTTAGAAATTTTAAAGTGTGGTTTAATTTTAAAGTGGAAAATTTGCAAATTTTCTTCAATAAAAAATATTATTTTTTACTGTATAAACAAGAATGGAACCAATGAGTTTAGGCAGTCCAAATAATAGTCCTGCGGCAGGAAATAACCCATATCTTCCATCATTCCTAATGGGTGACAATCCAAGTTCGCCAAGCCCCAGAAACATTTCATCCTATTCACCTAAAAAGCGTTCATTAACTTTTGGTATGTAGAAACAAAACATTATTTTATAAGTAATTTATGTATAAATGTTTCCGTAGCTCAGTCTCCAACATCACCTACAGTAACATCTCCCGCTCCAGAATTTAATCGATCTACTTTAGGGCAGAAATCAATATTTTCTCATAATGCTAGTATATCTGGGCCGCCGATTCAGGTACGTGTAATATGAAATGCATTTAAAAGATATTAAATTTAATCGCATATATGTATACAGGGTTTATTTGACTCTCTTCACAATGAACAAAATCAAATTCAAACACCAATACGAAATAACTATCAACAAAACCAGTCTTATCAATATCCAATAAACAACCAATCAGTCAATCAGTCCGTATGTAACGATTCTTACTTAAGTTCAGGGAGCTTCAGTAATTCAAGGTAATGAAAAGGTATTGAGATAAAATTGTTTTTAATTTTTTTTCATTTTCTCATACAGAATTATTTCACCTAATGTATATGAATACAAAAGTCCTACAAATTTTTTAAATCAATGCCAACCACCACAAAATTATTCTGACTTCTGGGTCACAGTTTATGGCTTCCCACAAAGTGCAACTTCTTTGATATTAACACATTTTGCTCAGTGCGGTAGTATAGTTGATAAAGTGTTCCCATCACAAAACGGGAACTGGGTGCATTTAAAGTTTTCTTCTTGCTTAGAAGCCGATCGAGCTTTAAATTATAATGAAAAAATTCTTGCAAATAATATTATGATAGGAGTAACCAGATGTAAAGATTCAAATGTAATTGACAAAGAAAATTATAGTGAAAATCACCAGTAAGAAAAAGAATTTAAAATTCAAAGCATTTTTGTTTGAAATAAATTATTTATTTTTAGATCCACAAAAGTGCGGCCGCTTTCGCAATTAGCTTATAATAGTGCGCAAAATGAATCTGCTGTAATTACTAGTCCAAATGCTCCCCAAAGAAGTACAGGTTTAGTAAATAAAGCAATGGACCTACTCTTTGGATGGTAATAAAAAAAAAATCAAATTGCACATCAGCGTAAATGAATGAGAAACTGTAAAATAAATAATAGGAAGCTGAATATGATTTTTGTAAGGGAACTTATTCTATATTAAGTAATTGTATTGAAAAAATTTTAAGTAAATTAATTTTGAAAAACAAACATTATTATGAAACTCTTAGGTTGGTTCAAAGTTTTTAAACATAATTTTGACAATAGAATACACAATATACAAACAGTACCAATATTGTAACAAAAATAAAATTTTTTGATTATCAAAATTAAATTTTTCGTATCATTTAAAAAAAAATCTAAATTTATATTAATTCCAATTCCAAAAATTTGTAATTATTGCTGATTTTGATAACATTTTAGAAACAAGCTTATTGTCACTATATAGGTAATTCTACCATACTCTGACCATAGTTGTCCAATTGATAAAATTTGGAAGTAAGCTTACCAAACTGTCTTAAATTTAGGAAATATTTTGCAGGAGATTTTCGAAATAAGGGTGGCAAAAGTAGGTCGTATATTTCCAATATTAAGAAATTTCACCGTCTACATATCATATTTTTGTTTTTTGCATAATAAAAATTGAGATTTGTTTAAAATTTTCAACGCTAATATTTAATAAACTCTTATATATACATACAATCTTTTAAATATTAATTTAATTTTATCAAATAATCGAAAATAATAGTTACATTTATTTTTATTTGTATTAATATAACTAAAAATAATTTAAAAGCAAACTACTTAAACAGAACATCATTTATTATAAAATAATAAAGTATATTTCATATAAATTTCAAAATTTTACTTCGGTTCGATATGAGCCGTTGCCAAATCTTTCATTTTTGGATAACTTATATCACGATGATCCAGTTTGCTTTGAGCCCACAATATCATTTTTAAAAGATACATTAATTTTGGTGTGGACTCTTCTTGATGTTCGGCTTTGAGAATAGCAGCATTTAACTCACTTGCCACCTTTGCAATTTACAATCAAAAAAATTAAATATGAAATTAAATTTTTATATAAGAATGTGTACATACTTTTTGCCTGTGAGATTGCTCTAATAGATCTGCAAATGGACTGCTTTGAGGTTTTTCAAAAGCTAGTAGCGCAATAGTTCTTTCTAATTCAGATAATGCTTCAGGTATGTTTTCTCCAGCTTCTGAAAGTTTTGTTTGAGCAAATGTCAATGCTTCTTCAACTTTTCCCGCTCTAAAATCAAAAATATGAGCACATTAATGCGTATAAAATATTAGCATATTGTATCAATTTAATATTATTTTATGTATCATAAAACAGTAAGTGGTTTACCTTATTAGTTCGATTAATTGCAATTGCTGCAGATGGAAAAACAAGTATCTGTCGTTATCAAGTAATTCAGGATGTAACTGGTTTACTAAATGCGTTGCTTCTTGAACTCGTCCACTTTGTACCGCTAAGTTCAATAGTAGGCAATAATAATGTGTCTATCAAAAAATTAATTAACTTACCTGAACGGATTAATATTCTATCATCTAAAGAACTTAACTCAACAGAAGGTTCCAATCCTGCTTCTTGTTGAAATTTTTCTGCAGCCTCTTTAAAGCCCTCTAAAATAGTAGAAGTATTTCTCTTAATCATGTCTCATAAAAGAAAATAAACAATTTACCTGTTACTAAATAATTCATTATTAATTTGTTCATGTCTGAATGTTTAAATGGAAATTCTTCTAGACGACTTTTCCAATCGTCCACAGAAATGCTTTCATTTTTGTCATTGTTAAAACTCATTGTTATTCTTTAACTTGAACTTTTCAAAAATTACACTATTGAGAAAAGCAAAACCAGAATGAATACATAAAACAAAGTGAGCAAATTTTCGTCTGGAAATATTTTATTTTTGACAGTGACAATTAAAGAGAACTTTCTCCAAGTCTTCTATGTCGCAAACGTAATGCCAGTAAATAAGAATTCTCTTTAGAGTGAGAAAATCACTAAACTTTATCAATATATTTTTAATGCAATTTCAAAATTTCGAAATATTTCAAAAGAATCAAGAAAATTGTTAAATATTTTCGAGAAAATTTTCGTTCTAAATAATATAATTAGTATTTGTTCAAGATAATCTTTAAAATAAGTTATACAATCAACTTATCAAGTTAGACATTTCAAATTACACAAATAGTATATGTATGTAAAAATATATGATTTCATTAAATAAAAAATAAAACAAAACACGCAAAAAAAATATCATCAAATAGAACATAAAGTAACTTTAGGTGTGTTGCGATATCTCTAAATTTATAAGAATAACAAGTTTATCTAATAACTAATCTTTTACAAATACTACAACAATTTTTAAAACCAAGCAGGTCGCTTAGAATTTTCTCGTACAGAATTACTTCACCTAATTTTGTTACAATTTATTTTGAGTCGAAATAAAAACCTAACAATATGAAAACAAAATTATACATGACTTATTGCCAACAAAAATAACACAAAAACATTTTAGGTCCTTATTGTGATTGGCGAAGCGAATGAAATTTTTGACGATTATGAACATTCGTATCGAACAACAAATCAGTGAACCAAAACAAAAAGTTGTACACGTCAAAAACTAAGTTGCAAGTCGATTAAATATATATTTTATTTTATCTGCTTTAAAAATCTAATAATCCTTTTTTATCTTGAGTAAACGTGTCACAGATAAAATAATATGGCATATTTTCCACAGGCCATCTTCCACAGTGATTAGGAAAACAATAAATAAAAACGACTAAATTCTGCTCCTTTAAAATGAGACAAAATTTTGGCATATAAAATTGTATACTACAAAAAATATTGTGGCAAGTCCATTTTAAATTTTCAATACTTCATAATACAAAACGCTACCTGAATTTATTTTTTTGACATTTGACTTGTTTTGTTTTTAGATAAAAATAAAAAAAAAAAAAATATTTCCAAATAGCAAGAAAACTATAAGAAAAATAAACTTGGAGTGCTAGTAGTGATATGACGTTTCAAGGAATTGGCTATTAATAAAGAGGGGCTGAAATACTTTCACCCCAAAAAAAAAAAGCAAAAAAATTCATATATTTTAGGAAAATTTAATTTTTTAGTAAATTAATAATTAATTAAAAATTTATAAGTATGGCTGTAACAAATAAAGGCTCCGGAGGAGTTTTAGTTGTATTTTTCTTATGTATTTTGTGGTATATTGTGTCATCAAGTAATAACGTAGTTGGTAAAATGGTAAGTGTCTATTTTTAAAAAGTTTTTCCATATAAAAAGAATCCACTAAAAATATATTTGTTATTTAATTAAATTTCAAGGTGCTAAATAACTTTCCATATCCAATGACGGTAACGATGGTTCAACTAACAAGCATAACAGTCCTTAGTGGACCATTTTTTAATCTATGGGGCATACGAAAGTTTTCCGACATTCCTTGGCCATACTACTTGAAATTCATTATACCTTTGGCATTTGGGAAGTTCTTAGCATCATTAACATCTCATATAAGCATCTATAAAGTTCCCGTATCATATGCTCATACAGGTAAATAAATTTCTATACATTAGAAAAGAAAAAAATTGATAAAAAGTAATCATAATAAATGTCCACATGGCATTTTAAAATTCTTAATCTACGATATCTAATTTGCATAGGTGAAGAATCGTATAAGTGTTGAAGTGAAATTGAAGTTCTCTAACAGACAAACGTAAAGCTGTTTTGTTTATAAAAAAAAAGTAGCTTTTAAAAAATACCTACGTAAAACTTATTAGGTATAAAACTTGATAACACTTAATAAGGTTTAAGATAATTTTAAAAACTTCTTTAATATTTTTTGTAAGAGATTTTCAGTAATAGCTTTTGTCTAATATAACTTCTGTGTTCGCTTCGTATTCATGTTATTTAAACAAGTGTACATGAATCACTATGAAAGAACACTATATTTTTTAAGAGCTTCGGTAGCTATTTACCTAAGTAGGTACATACTTGAAAATTAGAAGTACTTGGAAATTAAAAATTAGCTATTATTTCAAATGATAATATATATGTATTTTAACTTATAAAAATATATGTATTTTGCTTTAAAATACATTAATTTCATAGACTGGTTTCATAAATTTAATCTAATTATCGTTTTTTGAGGAAAACCTGTTAAAAATCAGTATTCTATTCTTATTAAATTTTTAACATAGATATTTAATTGCCTTAAATCATTATTAGATGTTGCATGTTATATAAAAAAGTTGGAAAATATTCTAAATTTATAATTTGTTTTTTCTATTTTTCAAATTTTCTTTCCTAGTAAAAGCTACAATGCCGCTTTTTACGGTTTGTTTGACACGTTTACTCTTCAAAGAGAAACAATCATTACTTGTGTATCTTAGTTTAATACCTATCATATGTGGCGTAGGAATTGCAACAATGACCGAATTATCTTTTGATTTAGTTGGTTTAATAGCAGCACTTATTTCAACAATGGGTTTCTCTCTACAAAATATATATTCAAAAAAGGTAAACAATTGTTTATTATATTATGCCGGTTTAAGGGTTTATAAAAAGAAGTTTTTTTTAATTTTAGGTACTTAAAGATACGGGAATACATCATTTACGGCTTCTTTATTTATTAGGCCGGTTAGCATTATTTATATTTTTACCTATTTGGCTTTATTTTGATGCCTTTTCAATATTTCACCATCCTGTAATTGTAAGTAAACAGCAATTTACAAATTTTATTATTTATATAAAGGTTGAAAACATGATTTCTATAATTATTTATATTTTAGACAAATCTTGACAGTAAAACAATTTTGCTTCTCTTTACTGATGGAATACTAAATTGGCTACAAAATATTATAGCGTTTAGTGTGTTGTCTTTAGTTACACCTTTAACATATGCTGTAGCAAGTGCTTCTAAACGAATATTTGTTATTGCACTTTCGCTATTCATTTTAGGCAACCCTGTAACGTGGATTAATGTTTTTGGAATGACATTAGCGATTTTAGGAGTACTATGCTATAATAGAGTGAGTGAAAACATTTACTAAAAATATATTCAATGTTATTTTTAAAAATTCCTAACATTTATTTTATGTGTGATAATATAATGTATGTATGCACTTCTGTTTTAATCGTTCTTTAATATCGATCTAAATTTATATTTAACTTTATATAATAAAACTTTAATCTTTTAACTAAATTTATCTTATAAACCCATCGCAATGTTTTCCCACGGTATAGGTAACTTTGATACCAAAATAAGTTAATTTTTTCAAATATTGTAATTGAATGATTTCCGGAAATAATTACAAACATATGTTTTCTCACAATTTTTATCAATTATTGTAAAACAAAGAAAGTTTATATATTACATATATTAAAGAAAATGCAACGATTGATTTTAATGTAACTAATCAGAAAGTGCTGCTAATCCGTTGTTTGTGCTTAAAAATGTAAATGTGTTGCATTTTAAATAAATAAAATCAATTATTTTCATCTACATTTTACAACAATATTATTTTAAGACTTCGATTTATATAAAAAATAAAAATCAGATATTTGTAAGCTTTAATATTTAAAATATTTATCGTAAAAGTTTTATTTATATAGGTACTTGTTGCTTTAATTGCTTCAAAAGTATGTGCTTTCCACAACAGAAAATAATATTTAAAATTGCATTTTTTAATTATTGTTTAGGTTGTAATATTCCTTATAGCCGCCTAATCAAAATTGAAAGAAATTATTTAACAATATTAAAGGCTCAAGAATTAGAAAAGTAAATATTATTTTTCAAATATTATAACAATACAATTATTTCCATTTATCATTGTACACAAATTTACTGGTTTTTAAAAAAAAAAGATTAAATATAGAAGCTAAAAGGTATGTAATAAAATTTTAATGATAAGCCGAAATTTCGAAAAAAAAATTTTATTGAAAAATGATCATATAAGAAGATGAAAAATATAATTGCTTTCACATTTTTTGTCAGCAAATTAAAAAATGTTAATTATTTTTCTTTAAATATTATACTATTTATGTATAAATGTATAGTATTATTAGACTTTGTTATCTCTTCCTTATTGCTATCACTTTAATTAATTTTAAAATTAAAAAATTGATTGTAAATTTCGATTGAAGGTTAAAAAATTAATAACAAAACATTTTTTTTTACTTTACACAGTCAAATATGTTTATAGATTTTAATTAAATTTTTAAACAAAATTCAAAAATAATTTTATTGTAAAAGATAAAATTTTTCATAATTTTCTTTAATCAATCAAATTTATTTCAGGCAAAACATATATCAAGGTTTACCGAAGAAACTATATTACCATATGCTACAAATTCACCATGGACAAAATATTCACCACTACAGGAAAATATTGATCCAAATTATCATGATAAAATAAATCATAATAATGTAAATGGAAAAATTTCAAATGGCTATTATAATAATATTGGAATAAATGAACATAGTAAAACAAAAACAGAATCTGGAAATAATAATATCCTATTGAATTTAAATAATAATACAGCTCCAGCAAATAAATTATTTTTTGTTTAATGCAAAATAATTATTAGAAAAAATATACAGAAATTTGATACAGTATTTTATAAAGAAACAAAAAAAAAACCGAAAACTAAATAGATTTTGAAATGAAAAAGAAATTATAAAGCAATATTAAAGCGAAACAGTCCAAACAAATTGTTTGTACTAAAATGATAAACATCCTTTATTTCTTGGATTCAGACAGCTAATACTATTTTAAATTTATTGAAAATTTTTTTAAAGTTGAGGATTGATTTGCAATGAAAAAAATTTGTTAAATTATGTTGAGTCTTCTGAAATCAAAACTTAATCTTGGAAAACTAAATAACTTAGAAACTTATTTATTTTTGTTGAAGTAAACACTTTTTAGTCGATGGATTAGTATCCTTAAGACATAAAAATTTTAATTGTGTACAAATAATTTTAGAACTACTATCTTCTCTTGATTATAATGTTGATAATGCAAATTATTTTTTTTAATACGTTTTATAAATCATATTATATTAACTTTATGAATGATATTCATTCAGGATAAAGTTTTGATTTGGAAGATTTTATATAAAAATCTGTAAATTATTTATGCCATACTATTAAAACAAAGAAGACTTTTTTTGTGTTTCATTAATGAACTTGCTAAAAATTAACAATTTGTTTACAAATTATATTTGATTCAAAGAATAAATCTATAAAATATGTTTAGAACAAAGCTTTCATCTATATTTTATTTTTTACGTAAATAATTATATATTTGTATTTTATTTATCGTTTCTTCTAATTGTTAAAAACAAATGATATAATAAATTATTGTTAAATATTTTTATAAATTAATTTACAGAATGTTATTTTTACTTTAAATTTAATTCATAACTAATGTAATATTGTAAAGGTTTCTTTCAAACTGTGATTCTTTTCTTTTTTAATTAGAAAATTTTTATTATGTAAACAATAAAAAACGTGGTACATAAAATACATAACAAAGAGAAAACGGATTTTTAAACGTAAAAATGAAGTTATAGAAAAGCTAAAGAAAAAATATCTAAAATTGATCACATTATTCTTTTAATAGCATTATTAAATATGACAGACAACTCTGTTGGTTACAGAAGAACAAAGTAAAAGCAAATTCATACAAATGATACGTTATTGTATTTAGAATTTGGTTATTATAAATTATGTTGGCACCTATTTCACCAACAATGTTTTATTTTTGACCAATTAGCGTTTCTGTTGCACCAGCAATCGAAAGACTGATGAACTATTTTAATAAAAGATGTAGTTTTTTGAAAAGTTATGAAGTAAAGGCAAAAATAAAAATGGCTGGTGCAATAGGACGATGATTAAGTAATATGATGATTGTTTAAAATGTATTAAGGAATTAGTTTTTAACTAGGGTTGTCTGTTTTTAATTTTAAAACTGATTTTGTAAATTTTCTTTGTACAAATCTCACAATATAAACTTAAATAAAATACATATTTTTATTTTCAATATCAAAATATATATATAAAAAAAAGAACATAATAAATTAATTATTTATATATCAGATCACAAATCTTTTCTTTTTATTAAACAATATTAAATTAGATATTTAAGGACAGGTTTATTTTTAAAGAAAATAAATAATAGAAAATTTTATAGAAACTAAATAGCTTTTCTAATATTTGCCCCTGTACATAGTATTTAAAAATATAAATACCTACATATATCGACATATTTTAATTTGTATTAATATTAATATAAAAATTTATAAGTAATAAAATATGTGCCAATCAAGGTAAAACAAACTTCTTGAAATATTTTTTTATGAATTTAAATAAATTCTAGTAATGTTGGGTTGTTGAGGAAACAAAATATAAGAAACAAAGCAAAAAGAGATAAATAAAATTTCTTGGAGATGGTGTTCTCAAATTAGCACATTTTCAATATTTCTTACAGTAATAAATCGTCACTTTTTATTTGATTTAGCAAATAAAAACCAACAAAAATTAAAAAATTGTTAATTAGTGAATCAATTTTAAACCCAAATAAGTGTAATTATTTTTCGTTTTATAATTTGATAACTAATTTACTAAATGTGAAAATTCAACAAATAAATTGATTTTTGAGATAGTATATTGAGATAAGTATCTCTTTATTACACAAATATTGTACATGCAAAATTGTATGATTCATAAATTAATTAAGTATACATACATATTATTTATTTACACATTTTATATAACAAACAATATGTTTCAACATGGAATATATGCTAAAATACCCCCCCGGCCCCATTTCTTAAAAATATTATGCACAGCTTTTAAGCTAAAATTTTTTAGCCAATTCACAAATATTAAAGTGATAAGAATTCTCCAAAGGCAGTGAAACGGAAATAATATATGTATGTACATAATTATGTACTTGTTATCAAGGGGCAAAAATATTGCAAATAAATAAAATTAAAAAAAAAAAACAATAAAATTCGGTCATTAAAAAAAATTTTTTTAATTTGCCACAATACAGATTTTAATACTATTTAAAAGCTAGGAATGAAATACATGGTAAAACACAAGAGCTCTAATATTTGCCATTTCTAATTGGCAATTTTTCCACATGATTTTATGATATGATAAATTTAATTGCTGTAAATAGAAATTCCAACAAAAATTATTCAAATTATTAAACATAAAATTCAGACAAAAATTCAAGTTTTATTCAATATTTCTGTTTTCTATAAAAAAAGAATCGCTTACTCTCTAAATATTAAAAAAACAGGCTTAGAAATCGAATTCTTTTAACTATGTATATTTTCTCAAATTATTTAATTTACTTAATTCCGTGCACACGTTATCTACTGCTTATCTGATATTTAAAATTAAAAATAAATATAATATCTTCCATTTAAGCAGTTTTTGTTTTTTTGGGGAATGATCAAATTTTTCAATTTGTTAAATGCTGATTATGACTTAAAATAAATTTGTAAAAACTACTACTTAGAATAATTTTTTTCTTTTCTCGCAACCTCTTACATAAAATTTTTTTATTTGCAAAATATAAACGCACATTTTAAACAAATTTAAAGCTCGGTCTTTTTAGCTTTGCCATCCCGATCAAAACCTTTAAGTTCATTTGTGGCGTGCTTAGCAATAAATTTAATAAAATCATCAACTTCACGACCTCCTCTATAAGAAACTGGACTGTCCTTTGAATCTTTCGGTAACCAAAATAGTGTTGGGAACCCACTTACTTCGAACTGAGGTGGGACATCGTTTGCAGTTGCATCCATTTTTACTAAAACCACATCTTCATCAATTAATTTTGTGGCAACTTCTTCATATATCGGAGTTAATTTTTTACAATGTCCACACCATGGAGCGTAAAACTCAACTAAAGTATCTTTTCCATTATTTAATACAAGTTCATCGAAATTTTTAGCAACAGCGACTTTTACTGGAGCGGTATTACTATCTGGAAGTGGTTCAGATTTTATATATGGCTCAAGTTCACCTTCTAAGAATGCGTTCACAAAGTTTCGTAAATTTTCTACTGAGAATTCTTCTTTCATTGAATATTTAAGATTCTTTTCATCTCTAGCCAAGATAACAGGCTTAACACCCACAAAGTCATATCCATATTCATTTAACTCATGCTGGAAGTCTGCTTTGGCACTAATAGCAAATTTAATTTTTTTAGAATCAATTAACTCTTCAAATTCTTTTGCTACTTTCAAAATCCTGTTTCTCCAGTAATTAGTTCCTTTATTGTTTTTAACATAATCTACTTCATAATAAGCAATGATTATTGGATGTGAAAAATCAGATGCTGACTCTCTTGTTCTATGTCCAACCAAACCATGAATTTTTTCAGCTACAAAGTCGCTTAATTCAGAATAAGTGGAGCCTTCAAACTTAGCAAATGAGTCCTCAAATTGACTATTGAGATGATGTGGTCTGAAAATATATATAGCGTCTTTTTCACCTTGTTTATCCAAAATTTCTTTAGCTGAAGTGTGACCGAATCTAAGTTTCTCCCTTTTTTTGTCTGCAAACTTAAAGAAAGTCTTTTTCAAGTCAGAATCGCTTTCAAAGAAACCAAATATGCTAGCTTCTTTGTTGGAAATGAATTTCTCGAAGTCTGATAATTTAGAAATTTCCCGTGAGGCGGGTCCAACCTGCGCTTTCATGTATTTAACTATTCCATCAGCTTCTCTAGGACCATTATAGTCCTTTGAAAATTCGCCATTTCGAAATATTTTCAATGTTGGATACCCACTTACAGAAAATTTGTTACAAGTTTCTTTACCGGCTTCAGTACAATCAACTTTTGCCAAAATAATTTTGTCTTCGTTATCTTTTAATAATTCGGCAGCTTTTGCGTATTCCGGTTTCAGCCTTTTACAATGACCACACCAAGGTGCGTAAAACATAACCAAAGTTGTTTCTTGATCAGCAATTTTACTTTCGAAATCATTATCACCTAGTTCTTGGACATCACTTTCTGCAGAGTTAACTGCAAATATAGATATACTTAACAAAAGCAAATATTTTAACATTTTTTTATGTATTATTGTGAAACTTGTATCGCCGAATGAATTCTTGAAATTGAAAAGAGAACCTGAATTAAAAAATACGTGGCCAAGAATATGTCGAAAACCGAAAGACGATAAAGATCTTTCGTTCAATTTTGACACATGAAATTATTAAGTCTTTCCGATGTGCAAATTGAGGTTTTGATATAACTGAAGCACAAAGCGCGTTAAAAAAACGTGAATTCGTAGTTTTAGCCAAGATAGTATACGTTATAATCAGTTATATTGAGTATTATTTTTAAAATTTATTCGAAAACTATAGTGTAAAAAAGGTACCGACTTCAAATTCCTGCCACTCAAAAGAAAATATAACGATTAAAAATTCTTGAAAGATAAAAAAGGGTATTTTTTTCTTTTATATTTTTATATTTAATTAATAAAATCATTATTGCAGTACTAGAGTGATAATGTCACTAGAATGAAAGGTGTCACAACGTTAATGTAAAATAACGGTTTTGGACTAGGAATAAGGATATTGTTAAACATTTTATTTGTTAACTGACATTGTAACCGTTAAAAATACATTAAAACAACTAATATTTATAAATTAAGTTTTTCCAATCCAAATTTCTTCAGTAATTTTTTGAGATCCAAGTTTTAGCATTAAATGGGATGACACCAGATTGTTACGAAGAACGCGAACGCATATGTCAATATCGTATTGCGATACAAATCTTTTAAATTCTTCTTTAGTTATTAGCTCTCCAAATCCTTTTCGCCGTTCGCTTTCAATAACTGTCAAAAATCTACGATACCAAATTATTCTAATAAATATTATCTTATCTCACTATTATCAATAAATATCACTCTTACCCTGGGCACATCAGTTCATTTGTTACCATCCATGTTATCATCTCATCGCGTTCATTGAAAAGTCCTAAGCCACCATTAAGCTGTATTGAACTAGTTATTAGTTTTAAAGATCCCGCATATTTTGCAGACCAATTATCGTCAATAACATTTGCGTTTTCTGCATTCAATTTTTTAATACAATAAGTTTTAGGAATTCTACAAAAAAAAAATAAAAATTTTATTTTGCCATAGATCAACCTAACTCTATTGTAATAGTATTGTGAACAGGTATATACATTGCATCTGGAAAAAGATTAACTTTAAATTTAGACAGGTAATACACGCCCTCAGGTTCTTCAACAATCCATTTGTTGGAATTTATTTTTAAAATTTCGTAGATTTTGTCGTAGTATTTCTTATCACAGCTAAAATATATGGGCTCAGCGAACCAATCTATCAGTTTAGTTTTTTTTAAACAGTCGATAAGCTCTTCTCCATTCTCTTCCTGGGTTGATAAAAATATCCAATAATCCTAAAATAAATGTTGATTATTTTATAAATTATTTTTAACTATTAACTGGAATTTTATTTATAACGAATTTTCATTTTCATTAACCAAATAAAAGTGTTGTTTTGTTTTACTTTGTCTATAAAGTCTTAGTCAAGTTGTTTTACTCAAAATTTGAAAAATATAAGTTTTTACTCTTTTTTAAACCTTTATTTCTTCGAGACTATAAGTTTCATCAAATTTTTATAAAAGCAGCTCATGTAAAGCTTTCATGACATTTATTTTCAACGAAATCCAAAAGTGATTGAAATGTCAAATGAGGAGATTCAACCTTGATAAATTTTTATTGATATAGTCCAATTTTTCTATTGATAAGAATTTTACTCGATTTTTCCTTTATTTCTGTTGCATCTATTTTTGTTTTCTGTTTGTTATATTAGTAAAATAACAATACGGTTAAATAAATCACACAGTCGTTATGAACATGCTTTGCTTGAAATTTTTCGGAATGATGCATGAAGCTTTTAAAATGTCGTAACTATAAATCAAGCCAATGTCAAACATTCGTCAAAAAATTGAAAATTGTGCATCCCTTTATTATAAAGTATATGTGATACGTATGAAGTATGAATCATATGAATTGTGAATAAATAATAATAATGTTGATTTAATTTTATAACATCTAATTTTACAAAGTCAATGTTTATACTTTATGAATTTTTAATTTGAAAATTTAAATAAATTAAAAATCAAAGATGTTACATAATCTTTAATGTTTCTTACCGTTGGTGTTTTTTCGCCAATGGCAATAAATGTGCAATTTCCAACGGTACGTTTTCTAGGACCGTAAAATGTAGGTTTGAAAGTGGCTGATAAGTCCCTTGCAATACATGGATCTTTTATAGCATTATAATTTTTTAAGTAGTGAAATAAATAATGATGATCCCGAATAGATCTCGGCAAATTCGCTTTTAAAATTTCAAAAATATTTTCTAAATCGTTTTTCGACAGTAATTGAAGTACATCAGTAGTATTCGGCTCTAAAGCCATGATACTGTTCCTATGAACTAATTTGGATGGATTAAAACCTGAATGTGTAGATATGTATGTACGTATTATCTAAAAAAAAACGTCAAAATAATAAATTTTGAAAATATATGCAACGGAATGGCCTTTCGTTAACCATCATAGCTATATCTGACATACATATGTGCATATACTGATATAGATGCAATGTGTATATTATTATGTATCAAGTTGTTAATAAATAATTGTATACTCATTTTCATATACATGTTCTTAATATACATAAATATGAATAACCCTGTAATTTGGTAGTGAATATTCGGTAGATAATACACATTTTAGCACGAGTTTCAATAATAATACTGCATTTTAGAAGTAAATGAGTTTAATAATTATGAATTTAAAGGTTAAACTAAAGGGTGAATTGCAAAGTTACACGAAACCTTACAAATACAATTTATAAAGTTATTTCAATTTGTTGAAGCAGTAAGAATTTAGTTACGGATAGAAACGTAAAGCCGTTATGTTTACTACTTAAAAAACTATCCCTATGTTAACATCTGAAAAAACTATAACAAGAGTAATTTCCACAGCGAAATCTGGACATTCATATAGAACATGAATACATAAATGCGACTGCCTAGAATCAAGTGAATGTAACCGCCGGCAATAAAATAGCCCAAATTCTTGTTTTATTCCTTGCCATTTTTTTGACATCATCTGTTTGCATGTGTATTGCGACAAAAAAAATACTGTACGATTTTGTCGCTCCGATGTTGTTCTGACTTAATAACGGAAATTGTCCACCGTTGCCGATCACCGCCTTGGTTCTGTTTTTACAATTTCGCTGTCTACGTCAGTAGACAGAAACCCCAGTATTTTTTAAATGAAAATCTGTTTAAGTACAAAAGTGGTAAATTCATGATCACTTATTCTAAACTTTGGACTTAAGGGAGTAGGTAATTATTCTTTAACTTAGTAATCAGAAAACACTTTATTTGTAAATTGTCAAAAATATGTTTCAAAATTTTTTTTACATTTAATTTTAAAGGTTTTTCGACCTAAAAGCTGCTATCGTCGATCTCATAAAATCATTTTTTATTTTTAATCGACTTCATTAAAGCTTTTTATTTTTTAGATAAGAATTTGGTTACACACTCTGTATTTTATCTTTTATAGAATTTACTTTCTATGAGAACATCGCATATTACCATTTAAATCTCTATTACTTTAAATACTCATATTGACACATTCAGTAATAGTAAATCTATAACTAGAATATCCATGGCATATAAAGTATAAAATTACATTTCGTTTTTTTTATATTTTAAAATAGATATCATGAATAAAATTTTAAATTTCATTGTTCCTTTCTTGTAATAATAATTTTTTAAAATACGGAATTTAAAGTTGAATTAACACAGCAAAACCAGGTAAAATCATTTTTATTCTGCGCCATATAACAGCTTGCCACAAAATATATATATTTAGCTTTTGTAATTTATTTAAAAAAAAAAGAGTTTTTGCTACGCTAAGCGGGATTTGTTCACACAATAAATGGTAGTTTTGTATTCAAGTCGTATATAAAATAAGCAAATTTATTAAATTAGTAAATTGTTTAACTAAAATTTGCATTTATTTAGTTTAATATTTTTGTTCAAAATAACGCTTTATATAATAACGCATCCCTTTTTGAAAATAGCAAAAGTATCTAGTACAAATAAATATTTTAGGTAGTTAATAACTAATGTTTGAAGAAAGTCGCATTTTTAAAAATCTCTTGAAACATTTATGATTAAATAAAAAAAGATTTATTGAAAGATTATTGGCACGTAGTCTTAAAAGTTTTGTCACCCGGGAATACATTTTAATATAATATGCCTTATAATATATTTATATATGTATGAAGTATGTACTCATGTACATACATATACAAAGCGTTATATTATTATTGTTATAATACAATATGCATATTGAAAATTTCAAGTTTAAAAAAAAAGTTTTTTTATTTATAAACATCGTAATAATAATAATAGTTTTTATGTTTCTAAGATTCATTCAGTTACTGCTTGATACTGGCGCGCGAAATTATGATGAATTATAATTTAATTTTCGTATCAAAAACAAATGATATTTTACGTGAGCTCAATGAAATAGAATTATTAGAATTAGAAAATTTATATAAAAAACAATCCAAAGATTTAAAATACCATTATCTATTAATCTATAATCAAAGAATTTGGGATAAAAAATTAATTGATATTGATAAAGGAAAAAGTGTGAACAGCGAGAATAAGCAATTTGATTTTAATCTTAAACCTTTACGTAAAAAGTTTTTTACATATCGAAATGGAAATTTTCAAATGAATGGAATATATTTTAGTTTTGCTATTGATTGTGTAAATATTATATAAAATTTCATTAAATGTTTATTATATATTTTATATTTAAGATTTAATTATAAAAACATAATTGTGTAACTACATAAATTGTAAATATGTACTTGTTTATAGCTTAAACATATGTATACATACATTTTATAACGTATAATATACAGTTAATTACTTGCATATATGTACATACTTAATAAAAAGAGTTATTGTGATTGAATTGAGAATGATCAAGAATATTTTGAACTTTAAACAAGATCTACCTACATACACACAAAAGAATAATAATATACATATATAATATGTGTATTTTAAGTATATTTGTCAAAAAAAACTTTTTAAACCATTTCGCCAAAAAAAAAATTAATCCGAATCGAGAAGTAATGCATTTTACAAGAAGTTAAGGTTTTAATATTACCTATAACAAAAATCGATTCTGTTGCTTTTTTCATATTATATTTTCCAAATTATCTGCACCTCTACTGACAAGAAAACAATTTACAGTTACAGTACATAACTTATGAGAATAAGCATATTCATTTGTCAGTGACATTGTCTATTGATTGACAATTAATTGTCACATTAAAGAAGCTCACAACTGCTGATCGTTGCGTCCTGAAAATGAAAAAAACACCATTTTTGAAGTACATATATAAAAAGTTATAACTATATACCTGTGCTACTAATATTTAAAAAAAATTACTAAAAATGGACGATATGAAATGTGATACAAAAATTAGTTACAAAATAAAACAAAATAAGAAAGACTTTCCGAGTATAACAAAATAATTTAGTTTTCAAAGAAGTATTCTAAAACGGCAACCCTGCTTGTAATAAATCGAGAGAATTCATTAGCTTAGCGAATTTACGTTAATAATTTTGAAATTATGAAAAATCATACAATTTATATAACATACATATATACTCATTTTATAGTAATTGTGTACAAAATATAGAAATACATATTCTATTAAACTGATAAATTAGTATAATTAATTTGTGTTATATGTACATACCTATCTATACAATATATGTAAACTTAAGATTTTCGTATCGTATAAAATTAATTTAAGTAAATGCAACAAACATTTCGTAGAGAAAAATTTACAGTCTAGAAGTGAAAAAGTGCATTTCTTTAACAATTTTGACCTTGCATAAATTTTTTCAATTAGTTTCGTAATCGTAAATCTACATAATGTACTTATGTACGTTTCCTTTTATATAATTTGTTGCATGCATAAATATTTTAAATGAAAGAAATTTCTTATTGAACGGAATCATAATCGTATAATTGAAATTTAATACGTCACTTTTTAATAAAGATAAATGTTTTAATAACAATTTTTTTGATATTTTTATCAATATGTTGTTAACAATATGTTGTATAATACATATACTTAATTAAACTCGTTAAAATTATAATTTATAATTAGTACTTATCATAAAAAATATTTTATACATGGTATTTTATATTTCATACTCGATGGGTTTTTTTAGTGATATGATGGGATTATCAACAAATTTCAATTATGTGATTCTTATTTCTAACATTTATAATATTGATACATACATATTTTTATTATATCCTACATATGTCTGTACGTACAATAGGAAATAATTACATTACGTGGATATGGACGTATTTAAAAATTAACTTGGCATTGGCCCCTATCATCATTGTCACAAAAAAGAATGAAAAGAAAAATTAATGAGCGATAGAAGGCTGTATCATTTTTTAATGATGACACCAAATTCTTTCCATATAAACATAGTTCCTTTTTTGATGACGACATTAAAAATGAATGATAGTTTCACAAAAATGTGAATAATAAAAACAATGACTTTATTTTATATCAGACATCCACTAATTAATGCTTAGATTAAGCATTAAGCATATCGCCAACAGGCGCAAATAAAAACATAATTTAGTCGCAACTATCCAACTATCAGTTATCAAGCAACAGCGTCATCATTTACAGGAAAGGAAGGGAGAAAAAAGGGGAATATGTAGGACAAAAGGGGGAAGAGCAAAAGGGCAAGTAAAATAAATGACGAGCACAATAATAATAAAAATAATAATAACAACAAAAAACTATAACGATTAACAAAAAACTTAGCCTCATACGACGGCAGCCTAAAAGGATCAGACCAGCCCAAACCCCTCAAACCAAAACACAAAAATTTCTTCTGAACAGATTGAATACGAGAAACATCCATAACACGAAAGGGCGCCCAAACCTGACAAGCATACTCAAGAATTGGCCTAACAAAGGACACATACAAATGCTTCGCAACATACGGATCCATAAACGGATCTCTAGCCCACCTCATTACGAAATCCGGCTTCGAATTAGCCCTACCAAGGATCATATTCAAATGAGCACCAAAATCCAGCCTGCGATCACAAAAAGCATAACCCCAATCACAAAAAGTGCTCACCCTCTCCAATACCACCCTACAAGGCAATAGTCATGGCGGACAGTAGAAGACTCCCTCCTACGCGAGAAGCTCATGACCCGACACTTACCAATGTTAAGTTCCAAGCCATATAACAATATTGTAAAAATGTGATAAAACTACAGAAACAATTAAGAATGGTGAAAATTGAAATGCAACTTTTTCAAATGTGCTTTAGATCGTTAAAATTATCAAGCAGCTAAAAATTATTATTTAAATTTTCTTTTTAATTTATAAATTTAAATAATTTAACCTACTAATATAGAAAATTTTATAAATCATGCAATATTTCTTATTTTTCAGAAAATAACTATATCGTGCCATTCTTTCAAGGACTCTCTGGGTGATTTAGAAAAATGTTTAAGAGAAACTGAACTTATACCATGGAAATGTGGTCCACTATTTGCCGGTTTACATAATTCCATTATGCAATCAGTTGAAAAAATTGCTTTAGAAAAAGGATCTATTATACAACGTAATCGAGAATGTATATTTCATTTAATCGAAAATAATGTAGGAAGGAATTAAAATTTAAGCAAGTATGTAGATTCAATATTCGAAAATTGCAAATTAATTTGAAGGATCATTTGCGTACATATGTACATACATATGTATGTACCGATTTTTTAGGATAAATGACATGTATAATGTTCAACCAATAAGAAAAGAAAATGTGGAAACAATTCATAACTTGTGGCCAAATAATAAAGAAGGATCCGTTGACTTTTTACTTGGTCTCATATTTTTAAATAAAAGTTTTGGGATTTTTTTGGAAAACACTTTGATAGCTTGGATTTTTCAAAATGAATTTTTGGGAATAGGGTAATATGTGCATATGTAAAAACATACATACATATGTAATTATGTATTTATTTTCAGATTTGGTTATGTACATATAAATAATATTGCATTTTTTATTTAATATAGAATTTTACACGTTGTAACGGAACAACGAAGGAAAGGATTGGCTTCTCTATTAACTCAGATGCTAATTAAAGAAATTGCTTTGTCAGATGAAAACATTGATATTTCAGCATTCACAGTTCATGATAACTTACAATCACAAAATTTATTAAAAAGTGTTGGGTTTCACAGAGTTACGTCTACATATTGGATGCAATTAGAAAATACACAAAATATGGATGTAAAGTAAAAGCATGATGACTAAATTTGTTCTTCACTTTAGTTGCACTAAAAAAACTAATGTCAAAAACATTTTGTTTTTATATTCTTATTTAGTTTTATTACAAATTGTTACATAAAATATAAATTTATAGTATGCACATGTGCATTTAGCAATAGGTAAATTAAATATTAAACGCATAGATCCTGTTTTTTTTTTCATAAAAGAAAATAAGAAAATTATCTTTGAGTGCATGTGTACCTACATAACATACATGTATTATTATATTATCATTCTCGTTGAATTTACCCTGTAAAGATTAAATTAGGATTAGCCTACATGCGTCGATATTATCGGATATCGACAAATATCGCTTACTAATTTTGGAAAAACATCGGATGTTATTTTTACCAATTTATCGAATATTTGATGAAACTAGATTAAAACATGTTTAAACATGTAAAGCATATTTAAAAAATATCATTAAAGCTGGATTCCACTGGTTTGTCGTTTTCGCAACGAGGTGATTAGTTTTGCATGAAAATTTTAATTTTTGACATTCTCTTTATTTTTAAAGCAGCATTTTTTCTCTCAAGAAGTTGAGTCAACTTCAACTTTAGTGCGGATATTTTTTAAAACGTCAAAAATACGTATACAGAACTATTAAATTTACATAAAGTCTTGTCAAAAAAGTAATAAATGCATCATAATAAAAAAAACGATCAGCTTTTTTCAGACGAACCAATGAACCATCAAGAAAAAAAATAGTTCGACTACAAATAGCTCAGCTCAAAAACAAAGAACCAATGAATCCAGCTTAAGCATTGAAGTGGATTATGTATAAGCTATATAACTTAATCAAACTTTTCTGTCTCATCTTTGTCTTGTGGTCCTCTTTTATTTGGCGTCTTCAGGCGTAATTGAATCCTATACAAACGTTATTTAACTTCAAGTCGGCTTCATTCAAGCTAATTAAGAAATTTTGCTTTCTTGACTTGAAATGTTAATAATGACTTGAAATGTAATAGCTAAACCTAATTTTCGGGCATCCAAGCTGACATCGTGAAACCCAGCTTGAGTTTAGGGATGATTTCAAAGCAAGTACGTATACGAGGTAATGTTCGAAAAAATCCAGGATAATATCTAAGATAAAGTTTTCTATAGAATATCAGACTGAAATAATCTAATGGAGCTATGACGTGATGTCAAAATTTAACAATTTTGTTCAAAAAAATTATAAACAAAGTTAAAATTAACTGATCGCTGTTCAAAACTCCCATCAAAATAAATCTAATGAGAATAGAGTAAATTCAATTATTTGCCGTCAGAAAATTTCTTGTTTTTGATATTGTTCCACAGTTAAATGTGTTTTGATAGGTTGACAGCAAATTTATAAATGAATTTTTCATACCTATTTCAAAGAAGAATTATACATAAAGTACAAAAATTGTTAACCATTTTTAAAAATGTTTTGCTCAGAAGCCTGCATTAGCACTAAATACGTACAACAGAGTGTAAATTAAAAAAGTTTGCGTAAACGTCATAACAGTTACGTTCTTACTTCAGTATTTGGTTTCGTATATACATCAAGTCCTTTCCTTCGTTGTTCCGTATCAAAGAAAATTGAATTCCTTAAAATAATTTTTTTCTAAACATTATTGAACAGTAGAAAAATATGTAAAACATATTTTTTTTATCAAATTTATTTAATGCAATATTTATTTCTATTTTTTACGCATTATTAGATTTTGTTAACGCAACGGCGCAATTATTAGCATTTGCGTACGCAAATTTTCTTTACAGCACACGCTCTTTTTCTACATATTATTATTTTTAAGATATTGGCAATGATTAAGAAAATGACATCGCGACCTGCCGCACTCATCCCTACTCTAAACTTGAAATTGCAATAAAAGAAGATTGTTAATTTTAATCGTAGTATTTTTTTTTATAATTTTTGATTAAAAGAACGAGGAAGTATATGTAAAACAATTATAAGAAAACTTACAATTATTCAAATAAAAGAAATATCAAAATATTAATGAGATTTTTATAAAGAAAAACCATGTTGTGAGAAATTTTGTATAAACAAAACCAGAAATCCGATCGGAGTTTTAGTTTAAAATATAACCATTATTTAAGCTTTATATTACATAAAGTAAAGGTAAAACAAAAAAATACACTTTGAATTAAAAATTTTATATAAAAAAACTTTATTATGATTCTAAACAAATCAATTATGTGGAATGTCTCGATGCTTGAGTTATTTACTACTTAAGTATGTAAGAATTATTTGTCACCTATGCCATTGACCGGACATTTGCATTTGTTTAGGAACACTACAAGTGCTAATATACTTATAAATATCTATGTGTAAAAATAACTAGGAAGTAAAAATTGTGTCGAAAAAATTTCCTTAAAATATTTTTAGTGTCATTCATTAATGAAAAAAAGGAATAGTTTTTATTTTGAATTACGTATCATTTTTAATATTAATTGTCTCCTAATATTAATACTCATTTTAAATGACAGCTAATACGCCTGAACTAAAATTACATCCCCCTTCAAACTTAGTTGTCTATAAATTTGAAAACTAAGTAAGAATTGTTTGAAAAATAACATTAATGAATTAAAATGTTGAAGATAAAATATTTTTTGTAATAATATGAGTCTCATATGTTTTAGTTATGTCATCCACCGCTAGCAAACGTAAAGAAATTTATAAGTATTTGGCACCATGGCCTTTGTACTCGATGAATTGGAGTGTACGTCCCGACAAGAGATTTCGTTTAGCCTTAGGAAGCTTTATTGAAGAGTACAATAATAAGGTCCAAATAATTAGTTTAGATGAGGATACGAGTGAATTTAGTGCAAAAAGGTGAATATTTAAAAGCAATTATAAAAAAAAAAATTTTGGCATTATAAATTTAATTACCAGCACTTTCGATCATCCGTATCCTACTACTAAAATAATGTGGATACCAGATGCAAAAGGCATTTATCCAGATTTACTAGCTACCAGCGGTAAGTTTAATATAATTGAAAATAAATTGGTATACCTTGTAAATATATTATTTCATATTACATTAAAATTCTCAAAATGCAATTTGAGTTTAGTTTACGTTAAAATATGTGACTTATATTTACATATATACATAAATGCAAAGATATAATTGGTAAAAGAATTTAAGTTGTGCATTATATTTTTTCAATGAAAGGCGATTACTTAAGAGTTTGGCGTGCTGGTGAACCAGATACAAGACTGGAATGTGTTCTAAATAATAATAAAAACAGTGATTTTTGTGCTCCTCTAACGTCTTTTGATTGGAATGAAGTTGATCCTAATTTAGTTGGAACGTCATCTATTGATACAACTTGTACAATTTGGGGATTAGAAACAGGACAAGTAGATATCATTATTAATACAAATTATTTAACTAAGTTATAAAATAGTATGCACATATTATAAAAAAAACGAATATTAAAAAGTTCCACATACTTTGTATAATTAATATATTATTACATACAAAATTAAAGTATTCTTTTTTAAAGAAAAAATTAATATTTACAGCCTCATGGACGAGTTTATGTAGCAGGCCATGTGAAAACTCAACTGATAGCACATGATAGAGAGGTTTATGATATTGCTTTTTCAAGGGCTGGCGGCGGTCGTGATATGTTTGCATCTGTTGGTGCAGATGGTTCTGTGCGTATGTTTGATTTAAGACATTTAGAGCATTCTACTATTATATATGAGGTAATAAATCTTTATTTATTAAATAATTTCTATATTATTTTTATATTTCTATTTTGAAAAGGACACAGCACATACTCCATTGTTACGTTTGGCTTGGAATAAACAAGATCCGAATTATTTGGCAACAGTTGCAATGGATTCCTGTGAAGTTATTATTTTAGATGTTCGAGTTCCTTGTACACCTGTTGCAAGACTGAGCAATCACAGAGCGTGCGTTAACGGTATAGCGTGGGCGCCGCACAGGTAAAAGTGTATATGAATGCAAACGTATATAACTACTATTTGAAATATACTTTATGTTTTAGTTCCTGTCATATATGCACTGCCGGTGATGATCACCAAGCGCTAATATGGGATATTCAACAAATGCCGCGTGCAATTGAAGATCCAATATTAGCTTATACAGCGGCCGAAGGTGAAGTTAATCAAATTCAATGGGGCGCTACACAACCAGATTGGATTGCTATTTGCTATAATAAAGCGTGTGAAATTCTTCGAGTTTAAAGTTTTATTAAAAGGAAAAGAAAACAAAATATGAAAACCAACAAAAAATAAATAATATATATATATATATAAACATATGTATATATTTACAGCATACTATATTTAGTAACAAAATTCTAGTTTACATTGCTAACTTATATTTATATAACATAAGTATTTTAGTTTAATTCATATTTTTATTTCTAATTTTGCTTAAAAATGCATACTGTTGTAAAAATTTTTTTACACATACATCATACACATTTAAAAAAAATTTTTCCATTATTAGAACATATTTAATCTTAGATGCAAAAGTGAAATGCGACATGTTATAGTGAATAATAATGTTACCATTAATATTTGGACATTTTAAGAAATTTTGAAAAGTACGTTAAGTAAACGGAAGTTGATTTTTTTTAAATGTAGTTTTCCATTAATTTATTTTTTAATATTTTATTTAACAAATAGAAAAATGCTACAAAATATTTCTGTAGTTTAGCAACTATTCAACTAACCATAGTTGTTATTCAAAACGTTAGAAGAAATATTTTATCACATTATAATTCTTAATATTAAATATAATCTATATGATTATTTTTAAACATAAAATGCACTTAAATTGACATTTTAAATGATTTTGTATATAATTATATTATATGTTTAGACATAAAATTAAATTATTATAACATATTCTGTAATATTTTTAGTTTCCTAATTGATGTAAAATGATAGAAAAAGTTTTTTTTTTAATAAATTAATAAAAGCAAAATCGAAAATAATATCCAAATTAGCGTTCGTACATGTCAATTTGACAGAATTTAAAGCAGAACATTCTAAATATACTAAAATATGTATCTTAATATTTTTTTCAATATAATTTTCAAAAAATATTTTGTTTTCCAAATTTTTATATTTTTTTCGGTATGATATTTCTTAATTTTTAATGTTTTTTTTGAGATCTTTAACATTTCAGTGTGCTCTTAATGGATATATAACTTTTTGTATATTCATGTGAAGTTCTAAAGAATTCCATATTTTACAGAAAATCCTTGCAAATGTACTTAAATAATTTTCCTAATTTCATAATGAATTTTTTTAATTTTCAAACAAGATTTTACGTTTTCTATAACTATTCAATAAAAATGTTTCGAATATTCGCTTATATTAGCATTTTAAATTTAATATTGAATTGCTATCCTTATATAAATATTTATAAAAAAAAAATTAAAAAGACATATTATTCATAAAATTTCCTATCATACATTTAATTTTTAGAATAGTACACCAACCAAAGATATTGAAAATCAAATATCTTAAGTAAGAAGAAGCAATTTTAGAATTTGTTAAAATATAAAAAAACAAAACCAACAACATTTTATTTTAAATAAACATTAAAAACTTAAAGTCGGTTTTCTTCATTGTAAATAAAGTTAAAAAAATGTTATTTTAATATTCACTAAGGAATAAAAAATAAAAAAAAAACAAATTCACATACATATTTCATTAAATAATGAAATTAGAAAAAATCACACAAATATAGACAGATGTTATGATAAATACATATAAGACAAGACTTAAATTAAAACAATAGAATTTAAGTAATGTAAAACGATTTTTCTTTTTGTACGAAATAATAATTTACTAATATTTGACTCAAAATATATAAGCAAAAAAACAACAAGACGAAAATAATACGAATAATTTTTTTACTTTATAAAAAGTATTTATGAAACCGGAAGGTGAAACTTAATAAAATAGTATTTTTTTATGAAAGAAAAACAACATTTTTAAAAAAAAGTTAAGTAATTACTGTAAAATTTTTATTTAAACGCATAAACGAACTTTTTTTTTTATATATTTTTTGTTTTCTCAACGTAATTTATCAAATATTTTTTAATTCCAGCAACGTTTACTCAATTTACGAAATATTTTTGAATATTTTGTTTTTAATATAATATAATATACATAACTGAATTTTAAATATATCAGAAATAAATTAATGAAGCAAAATCTAATAAAATGGTACAAGGTTAAATCGATTTTAAACTTGCGACTTATTTTCGATCAAATATTTTAATATTTTTTGTTTTAAATTAATTTTTTCAAATAATCAGCAATCAAAAAATAACCAATATTAAATAATTATACATTATTAAATTTCTTACTATGTTATATAATATTTTGAAACGAAGATATTGACAATTATTTTTAAATGCAACAAAAAAAATAGTAATAACCAAATTATTTATTAAATAACTTTAAGATGTATTAAAAATGACACAAAAAATGAGTAAAAAATGATTTAATATTATTTGTGCAGATGTACAATTATCTTGTCTGTATTTGTATTTCACAATTGAGAAAATATGCTCGAAATATTCAAACTTGTTTATTATTTAAATATGGATTTGTTTATCGTGAAATTAAGAAGGAAATAGTAGATTTAAAGTGGGAACGTATTTTTTTTTAGTTTGAATTTCAGAAATTTAATTTTTTCATTTACTTAAATAATATAATTTTTCATTAATATGAAGTTGAAACAGTTAATAAAAAATTTTTAATAACATAGATGATTTTTGATTTCTAACAAAATCTGTACATATATATATTTGTAAACATATGATTTCTTTTTTAAAATATTTTCAAACTGGAAAGATTTATTAACGCATATAAAATTTCGAATATTTTTAAAAATCCAATTTTTGTTTTTTTTTTTTTAAATAGAGTTATTTAAAAAAATTTTTAAAAAAGAAGGATCGAAATATATTTAAAATGGTTATTTTTAAAATTTTTGAAATTAATTTTCATTTATGTCTTAAGAAATATGTTTTTAAACCATTTTAAATTCTCGAAAATTAATTTAAATTTATATAGTCATAAATAGTGAAATCGAAAATTTGAAATTAGTTTCATTACATTTCAGTGTAGTTGAACGTTTTAGATAATTTAAAAAAAAAAATTTAAAAATTGATAGAAAAGTTGATTGGAAAGTGTAAACCGATACAAAAAAAAAACGAAATCTCAACTGACTATTTGAAATTTTCACTTGAAAAATATTATTTTGGAATAAATTTTATTAAAAAAAATAAGACAAAAAGCAAAAAAAAAGCAAAATGTATTTAGTTATATTTTTTATGTTCAAATTAATGAATTTTTAAATGTTAATATGAATTAAATTTACTTATTTTTATTTTAAAATTTTAAATTTGTACATAACTTATTTTTATTATTATTTATTATTATATTTGTAAAAATATCAAAATATTTTTTTTTTTATTTAAAATAAATTATAAATAAAATAATATCTGTCCTCTTTTATTATTCATAATAAAATTTTAATTGCTAGTAATTATAAAAAAAAGAAAATTTTTTTCGAAAATAATTAAACTGCAGTAGATTTTTTATATAAGTTTTATAGAATATAAAATATCAATTTTTTTTATTTTTTTTATACTAATAAAATTTTGTATCTAATGCCTTACCTTAATCGCGATTACAGATTAAAATTCTTAAAAATTTTTTACAGGAATTTAAACTACAGCTTATTAAATAAAAATTTTTATTATTCTTAAAAATAATGTTCAATAAACAGATAAGGAATATAATATATGTATATTAAATTAATTAATTTTTTTATATAATTGAAAATTTTTCTTAAAGCTAAAAAAATACGAGCATTATCTAAAAATTTATCTTTTGATTTTAGCTTTTTTATTATAAGTTATATTATAGAATAAAGCTTAAATTCAAAAGAAACTAAAAAATTAAAGTCCTGTTCAAAGTTTAAATATTTTCGAAAAAAAAAACAAAATAATGAAGAAAAATAAGAATTATTAAAATTGAAAAAAAGTAGGTTTTATAAATAGCAGTTAATAAAAACAGTTTTTTTAGTTTAATTTTTCTTAAAATTCTCTTCATTTTTTACTCAATATTGTACTTGTTTTTTTCACAATGCTCTAAATTGTTAAATATAATTTAACTTATCTTATTTATTCAAAGTGAAAATAAAATTAAGAATAATTTTTTTTTATTTTTCATTTATATTTTCATATTGAATAAGAAAAAAGATTAGTTAAAATATACTTATTTAAGATCACATTTTAGAACATCTATTTTTCGGTCAAAATTCATTTTGACAAAGAAATAAATGAAAAAATAGAAACAGAAAATTGTAAAATAAATTGCCTCAAATTTTTTAATCTTAAGAAAAATACATAAAACATAATTTCATTCAGTGGTGTCTTGGTAAAAACATAAAATAAAAAAAAAAACAAATTCTTTTTTATATTACTACAATTCAAACAAAAACAAAATATAATATTTTTTAATTATAGGAAGGAAATAGCCATAAAAAATAGTGAAAATAAAATATTAATTTACAAGATATTAAAAAAAAAAATAAAATAAACAAAAATAGAAAAAAACAGAACTGGATTAAATAATTTTTTTATATTAAGAAATCAATATCGGTTATCATTTCTGATGTGTATTGGTAAATTATTTCATAAGGATTAAAATAATATAGAACATAAATTAAAAAAAAGAAGATAAAAACAAATAAAAAAAATAAATGAGTAAAAAATATGACAGTAAACAAGAAAATAAAATTAAAGAAATGAATATAAAAAAAATTCAAACCTGTAAATAGCTACAAAATAATGTATTAATAAAAAAAAAGAAAAATCATTTTTTAATGTAATCTAAAACAAAAAAAAGAAACAAAAAAGATACAAGAAAAAAAAGGAAAAAAAGGAGAAAATAAACAAAAATCTTTTCTATTTACCAAAATTTAAAGTATTCTTAATATTCTTTTCCAGCAACAAATATTATTCTTTAAGCCCTCAACTTAAATAGAAGGTTGAGTTCATGTTTTTACAATCTACAAAAGTGAGTATGGTGCGTGCAGATAAGTTCACTACAACCCCTGTACTGTAACTATACTATACAATGTAGTGTGACACCTAAAAATACTGAAAATTTATTTGGAATATTAAAAGCGTATGAGTAAAATTAAAATCAGGTGAAAGATTTTTAATGTTATTCAAAACATTTACTCCATAACACTCCATTAAACAAAATCATGTCACTTGACAAAACGCCGGAATACGATTTCTGTCGCAGACAACGTTCCTAAACTATAATCTTGAACTATATACTATAAGCAGGAATTTTGAACCTTATTCTAGTTGTCGCGTCACTTACGTGCCATTTGTCGTTGTCGTTGTCACATCATTTGAAATGTGGTATTCTAGTTGTCGAGTGACGTGACTGCGAGAAATAAACGAAAATGAAACGTTTCAAGTGAAATTGATACATTTTAAAAAGAAATTTTGGCGAGTAAAGTTCAAACTAAAAAAAAAAATTCGGTGTATATATTTATTTTTTTAAATACGAGGGAAATAAAAAATGTCGTCATTTGCATTATGGTTTATGGATTCATCAGACTCCGAGAGTGATGAAATTGAAAAAAAAACAACAATTAAGGATCAAAAGATTTAAGATTAGGGACAGCTCTAATCCATTGGATTTGCCAAATGGAGTGTAAGATAATAATTTTTTCAAATACATTAGTTACAAACATTTTATTTTATTCACAGATTTATAAGCTATTACAGACTTTCAAACCATATATTATTTGGTTTAATTTATGTATTAAATTACAAAATTTATTATTTTTTATATTTTTATTAAATTGTTTTGTTTAAACTTACATTTTTGGTGTATTCATCTCGCTTGTCACTTGTTAATACTTTTCGACAAAAAACGTCGTTTCACTACGACATGTGTCACTCTACACGTATCACTTTAATCGCCATTTAGAATATTAAATTCAAGTCGTGACGACAATTGTCGCTCTACTTCGACAACTAGAATAAGGCTCTTTGTATTTGAAAATTTGATTAAGTAATCAATCGCATTCGATGAATGAACAAAACTTATTTTACATAAACAGTGATAGTTGTTTATGTAAAATTTAGATAGCATGACTTTTTTAAATACAACTGAATTTCTAAATAACGAATCCACAATTGTATGACTAATAATCCTTAGTTTCCAGATAGTTTACTTCATACTTGTAAATTAAATTTTATGTTGCAAATTAAATTTGTTGAATTTTACTGGTCGTTATTATATGATGAAGATTTCATTCTACATTCATATAAATATATAATTTATTTCAAACTAATAAATAATTTTTTATTACTACAAAATAATACGTTTAAATGAATTATTTACATAGTAAGTGGGAATTTTTATTCGATTTCTTCGTAAAATATAAATTAATTTATTTAACTAAACGTCTTGTATAGTATTACGGCAAAAATAAAATGCTATTAATGATTTTATGTGCTTAGCAGCTTAAAACAAATCTTAAAAACACATTATGAATTAATTTAAATTTTAGAAATCTGCACAATAAATTCCGGAAACTAAATATTTATTAAAAATGTAAAATATAAATATAAATATTGCAATATTTAATTATTTAGTAAATAAATATTCCAGTATTTAAGTTAGGGATTTTTATTTTTTTGAAATGTTTACTTATATGAAATGGTACAATTATGTTATGTTCTTTTAAACACAGTTGGTTTTGCATGAAAAATTCTACAAAATTTGATTAACTTGATATAAAATTATAGCTATTCTCAATTAAATAAGTTTCTCATATTGCACTCTTGATTGCTTTGATAAATCCCCGCTCTTATTATTTTAAAAAATCTTTGGAATGAGATGTTGGATTGGTACTACTTTGTTTAAATATTACAAAAATATTGGAAGTTTTTTATTTGTAAGTATGAGATACTTTAATTAAAATTGTAATATGAATTTTGCTCAACCTACTATACAAAATTTCTAATTTTTTGGAAATAAATTTCATATATGCCTATATATACACATATTTTAACACTTTCACAAAAAATTTTTTGCAAAAATCAAGTTAATCGATTTTTGTGATGAATTTAAATTTTATAATATAAAAAACTTTTCAACTTACGAAAAATTTAATTATACTTCACTAATTTAGCAACAAATTCTTAAAGAAATAATATCAAAATATATGTAAATATATATATTTTAAATCAAATAAGAAATTGAAAGAAACCAAACAATTTAATGTTTTTCTTTGTTAAGTCAATCGATTGCAAATTTTTTGTTACAGCATAAGGAACTTATAAAATATAAGGCTAACGCATTGTTTTTTAACAAGTTTTTTTGTTACATTATGCATAAATTGGTAAAAAGTAAAATTGTTATTCAAAAAGTTTTTTCTAAAAAAAAACTTAAGAATTTAACAATTTTAATTACTTAATTTAAACAAGAATTGTTGAAACATACAGTAGGTTCTATAAATGAGAGAAAAATTGTAAGAATTATTCAATATTTGAAGTAGAAGTCGAAAAAAGTTGATTTTTTGCATTCTTAGTAAGGTACTATTTATGAGCATTTAATTTTTCATACAGTGAAATTTGGAATGTAATATTCAAGAGTAACATCCATGTAGGCTATACTTTTTATACCCGTACGAGCGAATGTTCGAAGGGTACACTAAATTTGCCCTACCGTTTGTAACGCTGAGAAATAATGGTCTGAGATATAGACTCAAGTGTATGTTTTTGATCAGCGTCGAACTCTGAGTCGACTTAGCTTTGTCTGTCCGTCCGTCAGTCTGTCCCAACGATAACTCAAAAACTAATTGAGAGAATTTCAACCAATTTTCACAAATAATTCAGTGTAGTAAATACCAGAACCCTATTTAAATTGGATATGATCTGGGTACTGCTTTGGGTAGCAGCCATACAAGTTCAAAATTTATTTGACTATATCTCAGAAACTATAAAAGCTGTGGTATTGAAATTTCACACAATACCACAGCTTTTATAGTTGAATACTATAACTTTTAATTATAAATTTCTTATAAAAGGAAAATTTGTAATATTTCTTATTATACTATATAATATTATATACTTCTGAATATATTTGAAGAGAAGGAACAAATATGTAAAAATAGATTAAAAGAACCAATTAGATAATGATGATAAATATGAAAAAAAAATTGTTTTGAAAACTAGGGTAATTTATTTAATAAAATATAAATATAATATTAAGATTTATCTGTGGTGTTAAGGGAAAACTTTCTGAGTCTAATAATCTTGTTTAAAGTAAAATCAAGCTTGACCATAAGAATTATTATATTTTTTATAACTTAATTTAATAAACACAAATAAAGCACGTAATTTTGGAACCAAAAAATGTTTGAAAGAAATTTTACAAAATTTAGATTAGCTTTAAAAATTTTGTTTGAAATTTGATTTTAGAAAAAGTTTATTATTATTAAGCAGTTATTCCTTATAATCATAGAAACATATAAAGCTTTACTTAAGCAAAGTTGGTTTATTTTAAATTATCTTAATGTGTCGTATATAATTATGACTTTACAATGCTATTATAAGATTCATTATTTATTTTACGTAGCTTAGATATTAGATATAGTTTTTAATTGTTCTATTTTTTAATTTGTAAAGGTCAGTTGCTTTAAAAACTATTGTTTTTATTTATTGTATGTTTTTCCATACAATTATCATAAAATAGGTTTCTAATATATTATTAAATTTGACTTAACCTTATAATAGATGCATAATAAAATAGTAAAGAGGCCTGCCATCATGTCGGGGGCTAAAATTTGAAAAGGAAATTGAATATTTATATAAAATGTAATTCAAGTAATCTGAAAAATAATCTTCAGTTTTTTTAAAATTGTTAAAAATTTATTGAAGTAAAAAGCTTACTTATGTATATTCGAAGTCTTAATTTAGAGCAAGTCAAGTCAGTAAGTAAAAAAAAAATTGAATCTCTTTTCAAGATTGCAATAATTGCTATATTAAGTTGACCTTTAGTATCACCTGGTAACCTATATACATATGAGTTTTGCAGTAATATCATAGAAATTTAACTAAAATTAATATTATTTAATTTAATTTAGCATTACATATACTTTGTTGGAACATTATAGAAAATTATTCAAATCTAAATGCATACAGTTTCAAATTACAGTTAATTTGCAAGGCTATACCGACATACTTAGGCAGATTTAAGCTTAATATAATGTTATCAAAGCACTCAAACATTCTTTTTATCTCAGTTTAAGTAGGATGGTTTATACTATAACTATTGGCTATTATAAGGTACAAAGCTGCTGTATCCAATATACATATTAAATTATTTACACTAGTTATTTTTTGTTTTTACATTATACAAAAGAATAAATTGAGTTTGTATTATTTTATTTCCATCGTTTTGTAGAATGTTGTGTTAAATTTACATTGTTACATTTTTAATACATTTTTATTAATTTTATTCTTTAATTTATACATTATTTTTTTTCTATTTATTCTTTTGTTTTATCATCTATGTTTTTTCTTTTTTATTTTTTTTTTAATAAAAAAGACAATCTATAATCAGTGGGAAGGTATCTATGTATTATAATTTATAGTCTATATGTACATATTATGTTAAAAAACAAAATCTACCAACATACAAATGAACAAACAAGATCTTATTTATGGTACTAACTATTATCAAATCGTGTGCGTAACGTTATTTTGTTATAAAAACCAAAGTGTGAAAATGACAAAACAAAACGAAAAAAAAAATAAAGAAATGAATTGAAAATGAAATGTTAGCGCGATTTTGTATTTAAATGTATAAACAAAATTGTGAAAATATTTGAGCATCTTAACTGTAAGATACTATACTGTTGTTAAATTTTTTTTTTGTTAAATTAATCAAATTTGTCATTGCAATGTCTTCTTGTATTTGGTGTTACTCAAATGGATTTCGGGGGATTATAGTTCTAATTAATAAGTCTTGAGTAATATTTGCAGATTTCTTACATTCATATATTCTTTTGCTAATTTTCTTTATGGCTGTTAGAATATCTTGTGTTACATGGAACAGCTTCTAGTTACAATAATACTGAAAATTTTAGTTACAATATACAATATACCTTTTTAGTTACAATATCATAAGTAATATAATAATAGCAATATAGCTTTTATTCAAAAATATCTGCTAATTATGTACTATCAGTCACTTATTTTGGAAGATTAGAAAATAAAGTTGTGATTTCGTCCCATTTCCATTAAGTCGTATTGCTATATTTTCGATATCGATTTCTGTTTTGCGACTTAATAGCCTTAGGTATAGGATAAGAAACTATATGAATAGAACCTTCAAAGACAAAGTTTCATATACAACGTTTAAAAGTTTAGAGAAGTTAAGAGATTGATATTGCAAAGTTTTCTTTGAAATCAGTAATATGTTGTTATTTACGTTTGCACGATTCTCGGAAAACAAAAAATTTTCCGAAAATCATAAAACCTAAATTTTTGATAAGCAGTAAATTAATATTTTTAAGAATCTTACAAAAACTTCTAAAATTAAGCAAGTGTTATTTCCAGTTTTAAATATTTTCAAAATTAATCCAACCTTGAATAATTGTTTGTTTGTCATTAAATTTATTAAATATTCACGTTATTAATTCTTAACAAATTTTCATCTTCGAAAATTATTTGTAAACTATAATATTCTTAAATGAATATAAAATTGTTTTATTCAAAAATTTCAATTTGCAAAATATATGACAAACGAAATATCAAATTTCGAATGCCAATAAAATTTTCACTATTTCTTAAAATATAAAAACAAACGATAAAAAGCTTAAATAATATTATAATAATGTCAATTGTGATAAGCTTCTCATTTTGAATTAAAACAAACGTTGTTTTGTTTTAGTTGTAGTTGTTTTTTTTTTTTGTTTTTTTTTTGAGTAAAATGAAAAACGGTATAGTCGTCTAGCTAACAGTAAAATAAATTAACTTTTTAGTATAAGACTCTAAACGGTAGATACATACTAGCGGAAAAATTTATTTTATTGTTTTAAAAATAATTTTTAAGAATTATTTTTTTTTTCTATTTACCACACATACAAAATTTATAACAATTTATTATTTTTTGATATTGAATTTTTATTAGAAAATTTAAATTTAAAAAAAATTAATATTAATAAATAATATTAAAAATTATATAAAACAATTATTAAATTAAGTAAAAAGAAATTTTAAAATTAAAATAATTTAAAAAAAAAAATTCAAATAATGTCAAACAAGTGGGAAAATAACGAAGAAATTCAATTCTTCCGTGAATATTTAAGAATACCGAGTGTTCATCCAGATGTTGATTATGGTGAGTTTCATTAGAAAATTTCAGATATAATATTGTTTTTGTTTACATTATCGTAAATTAATAATATGTCATAATAACAACTATATACAATGTAATACAGAAATGTTTGTGTGTGTATTTGATTTATGAGTGAGTTGTATATATACGCATATGTAATTATGTATATATTATAATTAAGGAAATTCTGTTTGATGATATTGAAAAATTTCGTCACTAATATTACATATACGAGTACAGTTTTTATTTATATAAAAAATATATAATTGTAGGTTAATATTTGTGTGTTTATGAAATTTTTATGAATGAATTTTTTTTTTCGTTACAAATAATACAATCATAATATTATGCACATAATAATTAATGAAATGTAATTAATAAACTTTGAATGAAATAATTCAAGTGAATAAAGGTTTTTTTTTGTTTGTAACATGGTAAACTTGTTGCAATGAAAATTGTATAATAATATGCAAGTAGATATGCTTGAGGAAATTTCCATTATACTATAGTATATTATGTGTATACTCGTATTATTATGTTAGGGAAATTTTTATGGAAATTTCCATAGTGCAGTGTTGAAATTTTTTACATTTATATGAAAATTTTAAATGAATCTGAATAAAATGTTTGTTTTTGTGATTATTTTCATGTTGCAATTTATTTACTATGACCTATAGAATTTTCTTATTTTACTGCAGAATTCTTGAATTTTAAACATACATGAATGTGTATATGTATATATCCACTTTGTGTTTCAATTCGAAATAATATCAAATGGTAAAATTAGAGACTAAAAGTATAAAAATATTCAATTAACCTTGACTAAATTCCAAAAATAAAAAAAAAATTATAAAATGAATTATTTAATAAGATTTTAAAATAAAAAAAAAAACTAGAAAAAATAGGTAATTTGAGTGAATGTAACATAATATTTCTGAATAAATTCCATGGTTTTTAAAAAGTCAAGTTTAAGTTAAAGTTTGCAAAATGGCATTGAATTAGAGAAAATGAGTTTAATAGTAGGGTAGAAAACACGTATGTTTTGTTAATTAATTTTGTTATTATATTCTTTAAACATAGAGACGACCTTAATTTTGTGAACCCAAATTCAAAAACTATCGTATAAAATCTACGAATGTATATATACATATATGTAGGTATAAATTTAAATTTTATCATTATTGTAAGTAAAAAATTAGATTATAGAGCCTTTCATATTGCAAATCATAATCTAAATCAATAATTTTTAGATAACAAAGTTACAAATTATAATTGAATTTATATTGCACATTTTATATCAATGGATTTATTGAATTATAAAATTCATATTGATTTATACGAAAGAAATTACGAAATCACGAAAGAGAAATAATTTTTTTATATTGGACTGGATTGCATACAAATAAAGGAAGGTATTGTTATTGCACCAAACTGAAATTCATTTTTTATAGTGTGTGTTATAGAGAAATGCAAAGAATTACATTTTAAATGTTTAAGATTTTGATGTGCTCGTCAGGGCATCATTAGTGTTCTATCTGCTGACCTTTCTATTTATGCACTCTTGTCCCTAGTGTCAGATGAATATTGATTTAGAAAATCATTGAAATAAAAAATTTCTGTTTACTCTTCAATTTAGTTAACTGTTTGTGTGAATTGGGTTTTAAGTAATTTAATTATAATAATTAAGTAACTATGGAACTTTATTAGGTTCTTAACTGAAACTATTCACCATGACGATTTAAAAAATTGAGATTCGGCCTTTATCTAGGTTTTATTTTTTACTTATATTTTCTATAATATTTAAGACATATTTAATTAATAGTTATTTAATAAACCTACAGATATGGGACAACAGGAGGTCTAATAAGGAATTACTGGTTAAAATAAGTGCATATAGAATATTTCACTCTACTGTACAAATATAATACCGGCATAATATGATAAGTTCTGTTATGTGCTGCTCACATTGTAAAATTATTTGTTTGCTTAGGCAATTCTTCGAATAGCGCATACCAAATAAAGATATCTAATATAGTATAATATTTTAATTTAATAGCACCATTTATATATACATCCTTATACATACTGTGTAGGTAAATGTAATTTTTATTTTGTTGCACTCTTTATAAGTATACATATATTGATTTATATTTCAAACGAAACTTCAGTTTTTGTTTATTATCAATTTCAAATATAAGGTGTGCATAAAGGTGCATTTCGAAAATTTTTACAAAGAATTTAGATATTAATAAAAAAATTAAAATTAATGCAATTTTTTAAAAATTTTAAATTAAATAATTTTCTATATTTATAAAAAAGTTCATTCAAAATTACAATTTATCGTATGGCCTTGATCAATTTCTTCGCAATTGGAAAAGTTATTCAATTCGAAACAATAAGCTGGTGGCAATCGTTTACTTGAATAAAAAGAAAAATTCAAATATTTAATAAATTTTTATTTGAAGAAAATTATTTACAATTTGTGGTTTTGTAAAAATTATATGCAAGTATACCTTATAATTTATTAATAACATTGTTTTTCCTCATTTCCATATGCCTATCTCATTTTATGATTAATTATACTACAAGATCTAAAATTAAGTATCGAAATAAAATATATTGTGCACTTGCATCTTGAGGTGCTGATTTTTAAATTAATCTAACATATTATATTTTTACAAATTCATAATTTCATTGACAGTAAAAAATTGAAAATAAAAAGAAAAAAATAAAAACTAAAGCCAATATTTTGTCATCAATTGCAATTTTCATTATAAATTATTAGAAAACATTTGTTTTTAATTTATAATTTTTTTTTTGCGGGAAGCATTTCAGATTCTTTTGTAAATTTTTAAATTGTGAATAAATGTAAAAAATGTTATTTCAAATAATATATTAAAGTTGATCAAGAACATTATACGCGCGCATCCTCTTGCATACCAGTTTTGCTTACATTATTTTGAACTCTTTAAGCAACACTGCGATTAGTTATTTAAGTAAAAATGTTACCATTAATTAGTTCATGAAATAAATATGTTATCCGTTTACTCCGTTAGATGAATTCTATATGTATTTTATAATTCAATATTTTCAAAATATCAACCTAAAAACTGAAAAATCGAAAAAACTTTTTAAAATATAGTAGCATCTTTACATTAGCAGCCATCTATAAATAGATATCTTAGTTACCTACTATTGATGCTCTATGGATTACTGGAATCACATTATGGTAATTACCATAATATACTTCTTAAGAAGTCTATTTAAAAATCTCTAATTTCCCATTTATATAAAGAAATTTTAAACTCTAAAATCTCGTTCAATTTTTATTAGCTCTGTTATTCAAAATATTTAAAAAATGTTATTAGATTATCTCTAAACTGGTGAAAGACTAAAGTTTCAACCTTACAGCAAAATATGATATTAATAATTTAAGAACAGAAATTTAGTATTTATGTCTTAATATGCTTAATATGTTTGCACATGTATGTATATATTTATTTTTCTATACATTTTTAATTATTTTAATTTTCTCAATAAAAATATTAATCTTAATGGCAAAAATATAAATATTATCACAAATGAAAGTGTACTTAAATATACCTAAGTATGTAATTGTATGAAACAATATTTTATGTGATAACAATGTCTTAACAAATATTGATTAATATGTATATTATTTTGTGTTACCAACAAATTGAGTTCTTAGAGGTATTTAAGATAAGATAGCAAAAGTTGGGAATTTTTTCTTTTTGTTAAATCTAAATTCAAAAATATTAACACAGAAATAGTTCTGAATATACTGACTATATAAATTAATAAGCAATGTTGACTCTATACAGGGTGATTCAGTAAAGAGTTCCATAATATACATCATCGGAAAAGGCATCGAAAATGGGTATTTTGTATGTAATTAGATGTCAAAACTCAACAATTTCCTATATATAGGCATTTAAATGAATTTTCAAAAAAATTCTTTTTACCAAAGATTTTTAGATTGTCACTTCAACTCCCAAAAAGATAGAAGCCTCAAACAAAAAACATTTTTGTTTAAAAGGCCTTGTAAAAAGTTTGGAAGCAACATTTTTCGTGGCAATGTATTTTTATTCTTTCGGAATACCAAGCATTCTAATTTTAGAAACTGGAATGGTTGGTATTCCGAATTTTTTTAATTTTGAAAAGTCAAATTTTTCCTTTTTTAATTTTTATAACTGTCTCTAATCCGATTTCATTCGTATAAATATTTGAATCAATAAAACTTTTTCTTTTAGAATTTTCCCAATTTCTTAAGCTTTAATTTAAGTCACAGCAAAAAAAACATAATTGTATTCCAAGTTCTTAAAAGAGATTAATAAAATTTATAAATTAAAAAATTGTTGTTATTTTTGATTTCTATTAATTTAAAGTGTTGTAATTTTTAATTATTATTAATTTTTGATCATAAAACTTATTCTTAATGCAGTTGACATTGGTAAAAACCGTTACTTTGCGAATTAAAGATTTATTTATATATTGTACGCTTTATTGAATCATCCTGTATACTTCAAATTTTTAAAAATATTTTTATTTAAATTAATTTTCAAAATTTAATTCATAATTTAATAATGCTTGAAATTTAATTTTGTTAATTTATTTAAAACTAATTATCTATATGCTTTGGAGGTTATAGCAAAGTATGCACCATGAATGCTTTCTGTAAAATCAATTTAATGCGAGCAAAATACAAAAATGCACATAAGTACATACATTCAAGTTCTAGAATTAAGTTTTTAAAAATATTGCAATGCAATGCTTTTAGTATAAAACACAACATTATATAAATGTAGAATTGTAATTGGATCAATATATATGTGAGGTAAAATCTATTTAATGAGTTCTTAGGTCAATTGCATTTAATAAAAATAAAAACAAGAAAAAAATATACCACACTTAACTTTAATTTAATTTTTATTGTGCTCTCTCTGTCATCAAAACTTATATAGTCGGGGGTGACATAGATCTAATTTAATCATATGTACGTATATTGTATATTGTACAACATATTAAAGATGTTATATTATAGCTATAGGTATATTTTGAATTTTAAATTTTACTTTCCTAAATTTAGATTTTTATCTATACCTTGTGTGTTTTTAGGTATATTGAATATTTTTTTAAAGTTTTTCAAATTGTATTTTTATGCATTTATTAAATATGTTATTAAATATGTATAAAAGTTTATATATATGTGAGGTATAAACACACCTGTACCACTCGTTTGGAGATGATGATATGTTGGGTGATTTTCAAAGCTGTGATTGGTTAAGTAAATATTCGCATGCGTAAGACTGTTCAAATTAGTTAAATAAAATCTTAAAGCTAGTTGATAAAGTGTATAATCAATTAAATTGGGAAGAATGCTAATCGAAATTTTTACAAATAATTTATACATAGTTATCTTATTACAGCACGCGAATCATATTTAATTTATCATTAATTGAAAGAGCAAATGGCTTTCATGAAAAACTTCAAAAATAATTTCAAGCCATATCTATGTTACTGTTATGTCAATAAGTTCGAAGTTCAGCCAGTATATTGCGACAAAAATTGGATTTGATTGTTAAGCTACTATAATAGTTTCCAAACAACGCGTCAAAAATAATATGATCATATACTTTGAAAATTTTAAAAGCTTCATTTGTTAAATTTTTATTATCAAATAGAAAAGATGGCCAAATTAAGTAAAAATTGGTTTGAAAACGAAAAATTTTTTAATTTTAAAAATTGAAAACGCAAAACTTGTCAATGAGTGTTAAATATGGGGGATAGGTGTACACAAAATTAACTCATCTTAAAAATATTTTAAATTTTTTTTTGTAAATAAAATTCCAAAATACATGAGATATTTGGAAAATTATGAGGTGATGAATTTTGTTTTGAATTTTTGATTACTTAATTTGATATTTTTAAAATATTTTCTGTATGTCATACATTTCAACTAGAAATACAGGCAAACAGAAAAAGGAAAATGTGAGGAAAATTTATAATTGGGAAAAATCAGAAAATATAAACCTGGCGATTACAATCCGAAAGATTTGAAAAAGTTCATCAAAATATTACGATATTAAATTAGGGAAGGTGCAGTCAGTTTATAATATTAACTGGAGAATCTCTATGACTATATCTACGTCTTTGGACATAGATAAGCAGAGCAATAAAATTATTTTGAAACATGTTGTGTCGTCAGAGTCACCAACTTTTAGATTTTTATTAAAATGTTTAAAAAAATGAATCTCTACAAATAAACCTAATTGAATTAATTTTACATATTTCCAAAATATCTTATAACTTTTTTTATAATAAGCTGTTTGTTTTTATCACTAAGTCAACTAATAAAACTTATTAAATTTAATTTCAGATCCGTGTTTAAAATTTATTAAAAGTCAAGCAGATAATTTAAATTTACCAATGAAGATATATTATCCAGCTCATCCAAAGAAACCGATTGCAATTATAACATGGACTGGTATTAAACCAGAATTACCATCAATAATATTAAATTCTCATATGGATGTTGTACCGGTTTTTGAAGAAAATTGGACTCATCCACCATTCAGTGCTGATATAGATAGTGAAGGAAGAATATTTGCTCGTGGATCACAAGATATGAAATGTGTAGGAATGCAATATTTGGCAGCTATAAGAGCATTAAAAAAAGAAGGACACAAATTTAAAAGAACAATTCATATTGTTTTTGTACCTGGTAAGACTTTTACTTCATCTTTTCTATGTTCATTATAGCTTTTATTTTATAATTTCTAAAGAAATATACATATGAAAAATTAACTTAAATGATTGGGTCATGCAACGTGAATACAAAAACAAAATGCGATGGCAATTATTTACGCAATGAAATCCTAAATCATAACATATAGTAGATCCGAATTACACTTCGTTTGAAATTACGAAATTTAAATTGTTTATTAGAAAAACTTGAGTGCAAAATTATTTTGCTGATCAATGCATTTACATTATTGTCTTAAAATTTTCATACCCACGTTTGAATATTTCAAAGTCGCATACACAGAATAGAACTCTAAGGTTTATTGTTTCCGTGAATTAATTTTACATATTGTGTTGCATTAAGCATATATAGAGTAATTTTGTAAAAAATAAAATATTTTACATTGCCACTTAGACCAGACGTGTTTAAAAGTAACGATGTTGGAGGTTACATTCGAAAATGTATGTAAAATAGAAAAAGGGACACAATCCTTTAGCAGTTCTAAAATTAAATATGTAAACAATACGATACTGAAGGGTACTGAATTTTTTAAAACTATGAACTCCTGTCATTACTGAAATACGCCAACCGCAAAATTAAGTAATAGCTAATTACGGTTTTCGGAAACATATTAATTGAAAGTACTATTCGTTATGAACAATTAGAATAGAAAATTTTGATATTAAGGTTTGAGACTTCGTAGATTAGGGTGTTTCTGTGACAGAGCACATTAGATTTGACCTACATAGGTATTGTAAAAAATGTTCAGAAGGTAAGGTTTTTTAATAGCAGTTTTTAGTTTTTAACTCAAAACTTAGTATTACAAACGCCTCGGCTTTCGCTTTGAATATTTCGCTTTTTGAGTTTTATTTAAAATATATTATTGTCTGCATTGAATCACTCTGTAATAATCACTCCGTAATAAATATGTAAGTGTTATGTATATGACATTTATAGTAAAATATGATTTTTTAATTTTCGCTATAATGGTATTATATTTTGTTCAGTTGTTACCAGAAAATTATTATTTAATAGAAAACGTATAAAAACTTATGAAATTGAAATTATTTTTATTTTTAATACTTTGCGACTTTAAAATTTTTATTGCAAACTAGTTATAAATAACAACGGCTGCTATTGATTTTTTCTTATGGTCTTGAGCTTGGCTTTGAATTTTTTTATGTTTCTATTTCTACAATATATTGATCGTTTTTGTTTTGTTTCAACGCGTTTATGTTAAAAATAAAATAGTAGGCGTACAATTCATTATGTTTTTGTAAATTTAATGGAAGATTAGTTGGGGAAGTATCATAAAATTTTAAGTTCAAACTTAGTGCAGTTTTGTGTCGGAACTAGAAATTCAATTTAATTATTGTAATTCAAAATACTTAATTACTTTTGAACATATTTGAAATGATGAATTAAAGCGCTTTGCCATACATAAACCTATAGATTCCTAAACAATTATTTTTACCGGCGAAGTTTTCGGTTAATTTTTTTAAATTTTTCCGCATCTCCTCTGATATAAAAATTTTTTGTTTCAAGAAATACATTAGACAATGTCATACATAGAATTTCAATATACTTTCCAATCTAGTCTTCTTTAAATCAAACTGTTTGAACTCCTTACATTTCCGTTAATGTTATTACGTTGTTAATAGAAGTGTAGCGTAAATCATAATGTGTTGGTCCTATAAAGTTTTATGGCTTTACATATGGAAGCAAAATTCAGTGACCTTTTGTAAACAATAATTATGGGTGGTCACAATAACTTATGAGTACGAAATATATTACGGATGAAAAATAATAATAATGTGAGCGAAACTATTTACTTATATACACTTAAACATATAAATTACGAATTTTCTTATGTACAAAATTCAGTGGAATTTAGATTTTCACACATTTTGTGGCTTCCCTTTAATTATTTAGTTTACATTTACGTAGGTGTATAAAATATTTTAAAATATTTATTTATGCAATCAAGTCATATTATGTACTTAATATTTTATATTAATTATTAGTGACGTCATAGTGGACTGAAACCATATACATACATATACCGGTATATAACGGACCCCTTACAGGTTAATATATTTGGAAATATTTTGACTTATGTGGTATTTTTTTAGTTTTTAACTAATGTTATTCAAAATTTTATAATTTTTATTGATTTTATTTGAAAAATATATATATTTTTTTTTAAATATGAACACAATTCTGTGTGCTTTGTTTCAAAGCAAATGTGTCTTTAGAAGTGTTTTTCATTTTGGTATTTTGAGTAATTTCTAACATGATTTGACAAATTTAAGAAAAATTCATTCAAAAGAGTGAATGAATATTTCAAAAGGCGAGACTAGGGAACATTTTAGTTTTTCACTATTGAAAATTAAACTCACAATAATTGGTGGGTTAACCTTGTTAGCTTAAAGTAGAGTAGCCACCCTTAGGTAGAGTTAATCCGTACAAATGAATGATTTTAAGAGTTGCCAGAATGATTCATATACCGTTTGTTTTTTTATATGTACAGTGCTAATTTGTACAAACAAGGAAGATTAGCCCATAAACTCATATAATATTACACTTATGAAGTTGTAGGTTAATACTTTCAATTCAAATAGGGTTTTGGCATTTATTATTATAAATATTTTATAAAAATTAAAATTTAGTTCATTCGGCTTTTGATCAAAAACATGTATTTGTGCCCATATCTCAAACCATTATTTCTTTAGCTTACATTCTATTTCTTACAAAAGGAGTTGCAAATTTATGAACAAACATTCGTATGGATGTGAATAGGTATTATAGTTTAAGTTTTGCTACAAAGATATAGATGGTGTTCAATCCACGAATTGCGCCTAAAATTATGTCTTATATGTATATAATTGATATAAATTACTTAGAATTTTGATTCCATTAGTATAAAATATATGCTATACAGGGTGTATATGAAATGTTTTAATGAAATTAAATTGAAATCTACAAATACACGTATAGATAGTACGTAGTTGTTTTGAATAAAGCTGAAACATTACGTATTTTACAATTGTAATGAACCAAAAAGGATTCAATTAATTTTAATATAATTATTTATTTGCAACATTAAATTATTATATTAAATATTAGTGCATTATATTTATTGCCTTAAATAACAATATATAAGACAAATATTTTATTTAAGTGCAAGTATATGTGATAATTTATAAAAGTGTAAACTATTTGCAACATTTGAATTTATTTCCATTTTAGATACTAAAAAAACTAAATTCTATTTTGTAGTCGTGCAAGTTATCCCAAGGTTCATTAATATTTGTTATTTCTTACTTGCCCATTATAGCAATGTAGAATATCTAAAATAGCTTTATCATTATGTTAACAGTATTGTTTTAAAAACTATATGTACATATACATAATTTAAAGTACATATATTTATTATATGGTGTTAAATAGGCTCTTGACACTTTCATCTAAATATTTATTGTCTCTTTTACATTATGTTTTTTTTAAATTAACTTAAATTGTTTGTTTTGAGTTTATCTTATTAAAATTTATATATATATATATATATGTATATACATATATAAAAGCCTACAGAATAAGATTATGTTATTTACAATACAAAATAATAGAGGTTATTTCAATATCATACAATTATTTTTGTAAAAAAATTTACAGCGTTTATGGCGACATTTTTATATTTAAATAGTGAGATTATTGTTATTAAACTTTAATGCAGTTTGATTTATGAAAATAATAAATATTTAAATTTTTATTGCAATCTGTATATAAAATGAATAATTTAGTGCTAGAAAAATTTATAAAATCTTGCTTATTTCAAAAAGTTTACAATTTTAAAATTCTAATTGAAAATGAGTAGATGAGTTCCCTTATTTTAAGTAACAGTGTGACAAAGGGATAAGAAATACGACAGGGCTTACAATCTAGCTCACCGGAGAGGTAGATAAAAATACATCTTATTTCTAGTATTCTGTTTATTAGTATGTGACGTTCCGGATTTATTGAGAGCATATTGTGTTTCTATTATATATATATAAGAAGGAAAACTGACCCATGAATTAAAATATTATACACTAATAATTTGCGATTTGTTTTACTTTAAATACAGAAAAAATATCTAGTTTTACTGTATTTGGAATTCCTATTTGCATTTGAAAAATTAACTTCATGCATACTTAAGTAGATTAATATGTAAAAGTACATATATGACACTCAAATATGACAAATTATTTAAAACACTCAGATTCTCGCCAGCCCTTACAAAAGAGTTGAGAGGAGTATTTGTGGGAAGTATATAATTACTTAAAATTTAAACAATAATTACTTACTATTTATACAAATCACTCGAAACTTTCAGAAGTAGAAAAAAAACAACGCAACTGATCAATAGTTTGAACTTAATTCTATTCACGGTAGATGCTCTATACTTAAATGAGGAATAAAACCTGTGCATTAACATGTTCTAAGTAAATATGCCTCAAGTTTCTATTTACATATATTAAAGTAACATGGTCTTCCATGGTTTAGCTAAATATTGCAAAGGGCAACTTTAAATCATATTATTCATATTCACATAATACATTGCAACCTGCGAACATGTTTGTGACAAAAAATAACTCAATCCTTTAGTGTTATAATTATTAAGAATTTTGTATTTATTATTAATTTATTCATTAATTTTTATTATGTTACATTTTATAGATGAAGAAATTGGAGGAAAATTGGGAATGTGCAAGTTTGTACACAAAGATGAATTTAAAGCTTTAAATGCTGGTTTTTCATTCGATGAAGGTGTTGCTGGCCCAGATGAAATTTATCCAGTATTTTATGCCGAACGTAGTATATGGCGTAAGTTATAATTGATACTACAATTTCCTGGTTTTTTTTTAATTTAAATCTATACTTAATAAATAATTTTAAAAATTTTTTTAGATGTTTTCTTCAAAATATCTGGTACAACCGGTCATGGATCCCTTTTACATAAAAATACTGCTGGTGAAAAATTAAATTATATTATGCAAAAAATGTTTGCCTTACGTGATCATGAAGTAAAACGTTTAGAAAATAATCCAGAATTAACAATTGGTGATGTTACAACAATTAATTTGACACAATTAAAAGGTGGTGTACAAAGTAATGTAGTACCACCATTATTTGTTGCTTGTTTTGATGTTCGTATTGCAATTGATGTTGATCATATTAAATTTGAAAATCAAGTAAATACAAAATAATCAATTATGTATAAACTTTTCACAATAAATATTGAATTTGTAGTTGAAACAATGGTGCGAAGAAGCTGGTGGCGGTATTGAATTAGAATATGAACAAAAAGAAGTTCGTGTTGAACCAACTAAAATAGATTCATCGAATAAATTTTGGGTTGCTTTTAAAAAAACTGTTGATGAACTGTAAGTTATTTTTTTAAATAAATTATGTGAATATCGTAATAAAATTTTATTTCTTTTTCAAGTGGATTAAAAACAAGACCGCAAGTTTTTCCTGGAGGCACTGACAGTCGTTATATTCGAGAGGTAATAACAATTCTTTAAAAAAATATTAAAGCTTGTTAAATTTATTAATTCCTTAAATTTGAAAATTAATAGCCCGTAGACTATAGGAAGTGTATATTAAAGCAATAAGTCAAATTATTTTTTATATAAAAACCATGCTGTTATACATTAAATGTCTATTTTGTCCCTACATAAAATCGAAGAGAAATAAGAGAAATTTGTTTGCCTTGTTGCTAATTAAATTTATACTCGTAGTAAAAGGTTTACAAATTTTAAAAATCTGAAAATATGAGCCTAATATTTCTAATGAAATTTCGTTACAATATTTGCTAACACACTATAGATTGGTTGTTATTAGCATTACTTTATATACCAGTTTTCCAGTATATGTATTAATTACGTTATTGTGTTGCACAAAATATAAATTATATAATTATGTTACTTTGACTTATAAAAAAATTTACGTAACACTATTTCTTACCTTAAATTTTTTCAAGCCGCCCTCATTTCCATGATGTGAATCAATATTCATAGATCATCGTAATGGATTCAAAATTAGCTGAAAATATTTTTCATTATTTTACACATCAAGCATTTTAAATTTATTTGCATATACATTCACTTGAACAAATTGCATTTGCTCCTATCTCTTATAATTCATTATTTGCAAGTCTAGGACTGTGTATCATCTTACATAGTAATTTTCGTTCCAGTTGCAATAAGATTAATCAAATTAGAATCTACTACATTTGTAGTTTTAGAATTCTTTAGCTTTATTTTTGCCAAACCAAAAACTATCATAAATTTCTAGTAATGAGCCTTCCTGCTGCTTCTTGTTTAAAATAAAAAAATAAAATAAAAAATTTAAATAATTTCGAAAAAAGAATCTGACAATTAATTTTTATGGCTTTCTTAGAATAAGAAAAATTTATTATGACGAAAACTAATAGAATAAATATTTTCTAAGAAATATAGAGCCACACTTAGAAATCTTACCACACTTTTTCCTTAAAAAAAATGTACTTTGTCATTGAGTGATTTCTATTTTCTCATGGTAGATGTCACTGAATTGAAATTTGCACTTTTCAACCACAATTTTATATGTGGTGCAAATACAAATTTGTGTAATTGGTTGAATGTCGTAATTGCTAAACGAAGTAGTTTATCCTTACTGTTGCACTTTCAGTTTTCCCTAAGATATTTGTATAAAAATTCTGATAAATAACGCAATTATATGATAACCCCTTATTTTATTACGAGTATACTTATCAATAATATGATGATAACATCAATTGAATCTTGCTAAAATTTCAAAATTCAATTTAGGCCAATTTCAGTTGATAGAGAGCAAATTATTCAATTTTTATTGTGTCAAAATCGGGCCAACCTTAATTGGAATATTTCTATGTTGAAAAATTAAATTTGAAAGGTAAAAAATATAAGAATTCGAAATTTATTTCAAATATTGCAATTTTGAAAATATCAAATTTTTGGAAAGTTACAGTCTTGGTTATTTTGAAACGAACTTCGTTTTTTTTGGGTCAAAAATTTCAAAATGAATTAAATAATGAAGAGCACACAAAAATCAAGGAATTTTTTAATATCATAATTCGTAATCATATAGTAGCGCTACATTACTATATGTAGAATTTAATTTATAAATGCGATCCCAATAATAGTGTAATTCATAAAATATACTTTTACATTTTTACAGCTCAATTAAATATGACAATTTTTTAATGCAAACGATTTTCTTTCATTTTAGGTTGGAATACCAGCTATTGGATTTTCTCCAATGAATAACACACCAATTTTATTACATGATCATGATGAATTTTTAAAAGCTGATACTTATCTTAACGGTATTGAAATTTATAAAAAACTCATTCCAGCTGTTGCCAATCTTGAGTGATATTTTTAAAATCGAAAACATTTTATATAATTACATATAAATAGAAAAAAATAATTTAGAAAATTTACAATTAAATTACCTTGTTAAATTTGAAAATCAAATATTTTGTTACCAAATAATATATGTATACAATTTAAAAACACAATTATATTACAAAGTTATTAAAAATTTATGAAAATAATAAAAATGTACAATATTGTTATAAATTTTTACGTAAGCTGAATTTAGCTCGTGATGGGTTGTGACCTGTACTAAATATAATAGTTTTTTTTTAGTAATTTGTTAACTATAAAATTATGTAAATAATTTAAGAATAAAAGAATGAAAAATTTGTAAACTTAGATCAAATATTCCGAATTTATTAAATATAAATAAATATATTAAAAATGTAACTATGTATGTATATATTTTTTAAAAATGAGAAAAATAAATTAGAATAATGTTAAAAATCGTTAAGAGTTTATTGCCGAAGTAGATATTTTTTGTGTTAATAAAGTTGCATTAAATTCAGAAATACTAGGAAAATTAATGGCGGCATTGATTGTTGTTAATCTTGGTTTTGAAGGAATCAATTAGATTTTAATTTTTTATTTTATTGGTATGTTAAATATTCTGGTAGTATGTACATATTTTGCTTTTCATTAAATCTCATAATATTTTCTTAGCTGGGGCTTTAAAATTATATTACGGATTAAGCTAATGTCATGTTAGATCTGCGCCTATAAGTATACTGCTCGTAGGTTTTTTTTAAAAAAATTTAAATTATACTTAACTCTAAATTCATAAAATATTCAACACCTTAGACCAATCATAAAATTCTTAATTTATAGCTTTTTTTAGATTTTGCAATATGTTTGATTCATTTAACTTGTTCTTTATTATGTTAGAGAATTTGGTGTTTTCTAGAACTTCTTAAGAAAGTGGTTTAAAAATGATTATATGGAAATTAAGAATCAAAGAAAAAAAAATAGAATTGACTGTGTTAACGAATTATTTATTTTTATTTGTGTTGCACGAATTTGTTATCATATGTGCGAGTAAATATGCCATGACTATGGCACATACTATGAATTTAAGTTGCCGTAATACACTGTGACACATAACAGTCCTAAGACGTAAGACTATGACACATAACAGCCTTAATAATACATTTGGTTTTACGAATTTTCTATTTTATAGCTCCAGTAATTTTTGAGATGATGCCAAATAACTTTTGAAGTTGCATGGCAGCTACCACAAGGACCCAAACAGTTTCAATTACTTTTATGAAACATATTGGCCATACTGATATTTTCGCTTGTGCGAAATTTCAATACCACACCTTATATAGTTCCTGAGATATAGCCAAATAAATTTGGAAGTTGTATATCGCGATCATAACCAATTTAAATAAGGTTCTGGCGTTTACTGTAATAAATCATTTGTGAAAATTTCGTGAACTTAGCTCAAGTAGTTTTTGAGTTATCGCTGAGACGGACGGGCAGACGGACGGACAAACAGACAAAGCTAAATCGACTCGGAATGCTACGCTGACCAAAAGCATAGCGAAAAGCGGTAAGCCAAATTTAGTACAGCCTTCGAACATACTTTATCGTACGGGTATAAAAATACTTTATTCTTACAAAATAACCGAAACTCAAACTTTTTTCGTTTGATGGTATAAGAGAAGTCATATTATCAGTTTTGGATGAACTTCTTTATTCTCAAAATAGATTTGCTTTTGCGTTAAGCAGCTTTTGAATAATATTAAAACACTTTCATTTTCATTTTATTCAAAATTTATTTCATATAATCATGAGAATTATAATTATTTACCAAAACGAAATTTAATATCATCGAGGCCATGAACATGTTTTTGTAAACTTTTATTGTCAGCCCATTTTGAATTCAAATAACTGTCATCCTCATCTAATTCCAATTTTTTTAATTGTTCTTGACGTCTAAAAGACTCAGCCATTAACATCTTTTTTGTTTCTTCGCTCATAAATGGTTCACGTCCTGGTGGACCATCACCTTTTTGATTTATTTTCATAATAATTTTCGATTTTTCATTTTTTCCACAATAATCTGAAAGTTGTTTCTCTTCCAGTACTTGTTTACCAGCAAACCAAAGTTGAGCTTTTGAAATATCAATAATTTCTTTAGATGCATATGTTCCTTCAAGATCTTCAGTATTTGTGAATTCAGCTCTTACTGGTTCATGTGGTGGTAATCCCATTGGATAAACTATAGTCATACAACCTTTTAAAATACTTTTTGCTTCTTCAATAATTTTTAAATTAAGTACTTTATCTGATCGTATCAATTTTTTACTGATTAATTGTTTTGCTTCATTAATTGTATTCTTTATAATTTTTTGCATATGTTCTTTTGGACGACGTCCATTTCGACGGCCTATCTTATCTGGATTAATGTCATAACCACCAGATGGAATATGTTTATCAGCCCATGGATCAGTTAATTTCAATTCTTTTACTTGTTCATCAGTTAAACCAATCATTTCTGGTGGTAATATAAGCCCGTGTTCTGCAATATCTTCCATTTCAGCACAAATCCGATATATTTTAAGGCGTCCATTATAAATTGCACAAATATTTTTAATTATATTTTCAATTTTTTCAGATCCAGATGCTTCATATAAAAACTGATCTTCATCTCCATGTTTAATCTGAATTCGTACCATATTTTTCAGAATTGTTTTAAATATTAAAATATTTAATATACAAAATTTTTCAATTTTTTTACTTCAATACTTTCAAAATGAAGCGAAGTTTACATAACTATATTGTACTTGTATATATGACAAAAATAAACAAAGGACTAGATTTTTCGATTTGTCTGTTACTAAGCAATCTAAATTTTGTTTATTTAAATAAATAAATTTTGTTTTGTTAAATTGTGATACAAAATTATTTTCAAAATTATTTTCCTAGAATGAAATTTCAATTATTTTTATTAAATTTTATTAAATTTCAGTTAGGCTACTTACTATAGAAAATATTTTTGTTATAAGAGCCTGCGAAATGCATACATACATACACAATACAACAGGCTCTTCAACATTAACCAAATGAAAAAGGGCTACTAAAATTGCTATTCAAAGTTTTCCTGAAGATAATAATACATACATACATACATACATTATTTTATTGATTCCTGTATGATTAACATACATATGTATATATGTATATATGTATGTACGCATAATCATATATTATGTAGATTTATGTATGTAATTATAATAAACACAAACGCCTGTGAGACGTTTTGATTATCTTTATTTTACATGTAACTTCAATAGATAAGTCAGTTTATCACAAAACCCCGGTTTTAGTGGATGCATAATGAGGAAATTTTTTACAACGGCTTTGTTTGAACCGACACACGAAATTTTTGCCGTCGAATAATGTAGGATTTAATGTAATTTTGCTCAGATTTCAAAGATTACATATTTATTCATTCTACAACTACGACAACTTCTAAATCAGAGCTTTTTCAGGATTCGTTAACAACAATGTAAAAAAGATTTTTATTGATGCTTATTAATACATACATAAATACAGATTTAGAAAAAATTAGTTCTTTACATTTAAGTTCTTAGTATAATTTTACATAACCTATTCATAAGTCCCAATATTTTACATTTTATCATTGTTATTATAGATTGTGGTAACTAAGTTTACATTATTCAACTTTTTCCAAACTAATGCAATAAATTTAAAACTGTTTAAATAAAGTTATGTAAGTATTCAACATAAAGTTTCTTTAATGTTGTGTCAAAAGCCCCATGATCATATTATAAAAATAAATGAATAAAATTTAAAAACGAAAAAACAAAAAATCAATATTGCAATTTCTGATTTTGAACTTTTTTCATTTTTTGATAAAAGAATTTATTAAAAACTTGCATCTGAACATTTTTTATAAATATAGATACTGTCGCTTTCATAAAGGATACATTTATAATATTGAGAAATTATAAATATTAAGCAAATAGTCGAAATAAAATTATTTTGATGAAATTGCATTAGAATCAGATGTGCTTAAGAAAGTTCCCTATACTCCTAAATTGAATTCAAATTTAAATTATAAATACGAGTACGTTCGTACGGGTATTACAATTAATATTGTTACAATAAATTCTAAACTTCACCATAAAAAATGTTCTATAGAAAAATTACTCTACAATCTATAAGAACTTAGGAGTTTAGAAATTAATTATTAATTAAGAAGTTATCGGAAATAATAATCGGAAAAGTTTGTTATTTCGTAAACTGTAGTACAGTGTGTTGAAAACTTTGTTGAATCATCCTCAGTTAAATTGAACGTACAAAAATATTGTAATAAAAACATATGTATTTTATTCGCATTTCCTTTTGCTTTGTATAACTTTGTGTTGAGATTTGGAACCTGATTGGAGCAAAGAAATTAAGAATTCTCTCAAATAGTCCCAGAGTTTCTTACAAGGGAAAACATATAGTTCTACTCTGTAAGTTTCGGAAAATGTTTCACAAAAAGGATATCGATTTTACGCTTATTGTTTCGTTATGAATGGCCTCCAATTTAATTTTGTGAACCTTTTTGCAATTTTTGATATTCGAAAAGAATTGTTTTGCTAATGTAGCCACAAAAAGACCGCCAAATAAAAATGAGCGTCAAAATTTTGCTTTTGTTTTCTTTAGTTTTTATTAATGTTTATGGATTTTACTGCTACAAATCTTATATTCTACGAGTAACTAGGTATGAAATCGTTTTTAACAGTTCTTTTTAAAGTTTTCTATTTTCGTGAAAAATTCTAATTATTAGGCGATGTAGCAATCTCATTTGTTCAGTTTTAAACTCTAGTACTCAGTTATATTGCCTAAAAGTCTCATTTGCTTTTAAAAATATTTTTTCCTTAAATATTTAATTGGATATTTTCTGAGTTAGTACAAAATAAACTATGATATTGCTGAATGCTTCAGTAGATGAATTATTATAGCATTTTCATTATACCTATGTACTATCTATATATATGTATTTTATTCGGAAACAAGTGTACAAAACCATAAGAAAAAAATATCATTTAAAATTATCTAAATATTAAAAAATTAGAAGGTCCTGCATATTTCTGTACAATCTACCTATACGAGTACAATGTTGATTTTAATAAAATCTTTTTCTATTAATATTTTTTGTTTGTACTTTATCAAATATTTTTAAATATGCAAGGATATTTTTGTTTTCTCTAAATTTGTTGAAAAAAAACTGATAAAATATTTTCTTAAAGAATTTTTCGTTTTGTCCAATTTTCCTTTTTTTTTATACAATTTGTAAATAATTTCTCTTTGAAATGAAAGAAGAGAAAATAATCTGAAAATAATGTTTTTTAAAGGTCATCATGGATTTAAGATAGTACGGCTTGTTTTTTTCTTGTATTTAATTTTGTTGTGGTCTTTATGAATTCTTATGAAGTATTATAAATTTTTCAATGGAATTATGTAATTGGATGTGTAATTAGGTATAATATCTACGAGTACATCAATATATATAAAATTATAGAATAATAACATTTACATAGATACACTTGTATTATGTGTATAAGGCCATACAACACGAACTTCCATTGCTGCTAACTTGAGCACTAAAATTTTTAGATTTAAAAAATTAAAATGAAATAGACAGTTAGTTACAATTATAGCCGCTCTAATTTGAAATTTTTTTTGTATCGAACTTTTGTTACCCTAGTTCAGTTGAATAATTAAATTTTACTAACGTTTGATCATATTGATCTCTGTAATTTGAACTGATTTTTTTTAATTGCATTCCACTTGTATATAGTACTCCACTAGCATATTTAGCACTCTAGGTCTGAAATCTTTTCACGAGAGACTTCAACTCGAGAAGTACTTAAGCACATTTATTTCAGTAAATTATTTTATATATTTATATTATCAAAACAAAGTCAATTAATTTCAATTTTGAAATATTTAGATGCTGTTAACATGATGGTTAAACCGATTATCGATATGAAAAATGGCTTTATAACAAAATTTTAAACTTTGATCTGTTACTAAAAGAAATTCAATTTACTATAGATTCAATATCTTTTTCAGATACACCTAAATACATATGCATCTACATAATGCAATTTTTTTGGGGTTCACTTAGACTCATTTGATTTTTCAATATATTCAATCAGCTATACTTCTTCAAAATTGAATATATATATATTAATTTCTATTCCTTTCATTACTAGAATTAAAATGATTGCTAAACAAATCAGACTTCCAAAAGAATTTCAAATTTCACCCAGAATTGTTTTTTACCACTTAACAAATATTATACGAACTATGCAATGGGTCTGCCATAAAATTTACACGTATTATGTAAAATGGATCGCGTTCAACTATTTGAAAACCACTGCAATTACATAAATTTTCTGAAAAATTTTATTATGTAAATATATTTCATAATTGATTTTTATAATAGTTATGCGGACAAAAAGTACAATAAAAATTTTTCTTTTAATAAAAGTAAAAATAAGATTTAATTTAATTTAAAAAAAAATTTAAAAAGTTTTAGAAATATTGAATAAAAACTAAAAATTTTGCTTTTCTACCTATTATGTATGGATGTAATTTGCTTGGAATTCGAAAAGACTATGTTGATTATAAAATAAAATTTCGGTTTATGAAACGTCTATACTATATATTTAAAAATTTTGAGGGGTCCATTCGAGGGGCTCTCTTCATTTGAAATCTCACTAATTAAAGGTTCAATTGGTTATTTTTCAAAACAGAAATAAATACCGGATCGGATCATCGATACAACCAGAAAATTCCACGCATATAAATAAAGTTCCACCCAGAAAGTTCCACGTATACCCACAAATAAAATATAGTCTAGAAGTTTAAAATCTCATGGTGTTGACCATACTAAATATTTCACGGATCCAAAACTTAATATTAATTGCTTGCTGCATGTTTTATTATTATTGTAAAATATTGGTGATTATGGGTTTTGTCCAGTATCTTCTTCCCTATGGTGACATTCATACTTTACTTCCGATAAAAACATATGAATCAAAATTTTCAATTCAAATACGTCCTTAGAGTTGTTCACTTGGCTATTTTAATAATATTCGGAATAAAAAATTTAGTTTGTTTTAAATTCAAGTTGAAAATGCTAGTGAAATTCATTGTTAATTCAATAATTTTTTTTTTGTTTGAATAACAGTAAAAGATCAATATTGTTCATTGAAATTATATGAATTCAAAAAGTACTGACGGTATATGGCGGACTATTTTTTCAATAGTGTACAGTATCATATATTGGAATCTCGTTCACTATATGTATATTGTATTGTATAGCATTTAAATAAAAGGATATTTTCATTTCAAAAGTTTAACTTTTTTACCATAAATTGAATGAATCATGAATTATTCCATTACATAAAATGTGTACATAAATGGTGATTGTTGTAACCTGAATGTAGGTTGTTCATAGTAATAGGTCCTTTATTTTAAATAAACTTTTATTTGTATTTTAGAATTTTTTCCCTATATTGAACAATATAAAATCAAATTAAAAATATAAATATGTATGTATGTATGTGAGCTACAAAATTCATACATTTATATGAAGTTTTATTTCAATTAAATTAAAATCAATACTAACAGGGTAAAAGTACATATATACATAAGTACATATGTATGTACACTTATACGATGATGACATATTATTTAAATCACACAATATTTTTAAAATATCTTTAAGATTTTCGAGTTCTGGTAAATTTAAAAATAAATTGTTGCTTTAAACAAGAATTATGTAAGTCTTCTTGTCCTCTTGCAATTTTGTGATCAGCTAAAATCCTGGAGGTGACACTGTGCAGCTTATATATATACATATATAGCAAAATTGTGACTTGTATTTTTGACTAAGGCTTGTATTTCAAATTAGCTTCTTTTCCTTGTGATCACAGTACATTGTCTATAGAACTAAAATAATTAAAATTGCCCTCTATAAAGTTTATTTATAATGTTTTATTAAATCTATCAGGCCACAATTCACCAAGCCGACATCATTTTCCGAATTATTGCAAAGTATAAAATTTTCAAAAACAATGCTTAATATTTTCTGTTCCAATGTACTCCGATTGAAATAATTTTGTTTAATTTCTTAGTAATCTCATTTTATTTAGTACATACATATGTATGTGTTTTTTATTTGACACAATTGATTGAAGTTGCTTTGGCTTTTTTTTCTAAATTTTCAACAAAAAATTTATTTCTGTAATTCGGTATACATACTTCTATTTGGAAGATAGGAAATTTTGGATGCAGTTAAAATTTTAGCGCAATTACAATCCACAAACCGATTCTTTTAAAATTCGAACGTCAAATATTTGAAAAATATGTAGAAATATTAGACAATTTCTTTCATACAAATAATTTCCAACACCTCTTTCCAATTTTTATAAAATTCGCATAAATAAAGCTCTTTTGAGTATATGTTATTGTATTATAAGTAAAGTACTGAAGAAAGAATCGTAAGTTCATGTTATTTTTAAGCGGAGTTTGCTCTGGTATAAGCTTAATCGGCCGACCCTTATATCTTAAATAATTTTAAAAATTCAAAATTTTTAAGATAAAACTGTTACATTCCTTTGCGCATGATTGAAATTTATTAAAAATATTGGTAATGCCTAGGCAACATTTTGTTGTGGTTCAGTTGTTTCTAACATTCCTATGTCAAGTTAGAATTTTATACAGCTTATTCAGTCTTTAATGACAATTTCAATAACACAACTGGAATATAAAATGTTTGAAATTTCAAGAAAAGGTGGAATCACAAAAACTATTTATTCATTGGCAAGCTTAGCTTCTTCTTCAAATATAGTTATTTAGTTTAAAAAATTATTTATGGTTTTTTAGATAAAAGAGAAACGATTTGAAGATGTAGTTGAAATTTTATCAAATTTTAAAGATATTCAAACATCAAGAGCTGGATTATCGATTTTAGCCCATTCCTATTATAATTTACAAAAATTTATTGATGCTGCCAATTGTTATGAGATACTTTGTGATTTAGCTCCCAAAGAAGAAAAATATAAGTAAGTAAAAATAAATTACAATTTTTAGCTTTAAAATTATTCTATTATTAAGTTAAATTTCTCTTAAAAGGTTCTATTATGCTCAATCATTATATCAGGCTGGAATTTTCGAAGAATCATTGAAAATATTAAAACAAATAACATCCGATGAATTAAAGCAACAAGTGCTACAATTACAAAGTACAATACAATATTCAGAAGAAGAATATTCAATGTGTCAGGCAACACTGGGCCAAAGACCACAAGATAGTTCTGATACAGCTAATGATGAGGGTTGCCTATTATATCAGGTATAAAATATAATTGGAGTTTTAAATTTAAGATTTAATAACCAAATCCCAGAGTTCGATCGTTGTGCACCTAAAACTTTATGGTCTTATTAGTTACCCAGAAATATAATTGCGCTAATTATTTGCAATGACTTTTTATTTATTCTATAGGCTGAAATATACGATGGTGCGTTAAAAAAATTTCATTCTGCTTTGCAAATGGGCGGTTTTAATCCCTTAATTGCTTATAATATTGCGCTATGTCACTACAGAATGAAACAGAAGGCCCAGTCAATGAATTATATTAGTAAGTAGAAATAACCTTTCCTTAACAATAATTAATATCCAATCGTCATGATTTGTATAAAATTTTAGGTGACATAATGGAAAGAGCTATAAGAAATTATCCGGAGCTTGGAATTGGATCGCAACATGTCTTAGAAACCAATGATACACGAGGAAATATTAATTTGACAACACTTTCATTATCTGCTCTAACACAAGCCCTAAATTTGAAAGCAGCCATTGAATATCAAGATGAGAATGGTTTGTAATAAAATAAAATAATTAAATTTTTTCGAATCTTCATCATTCTTCCTCATCAATCTTCATGTTTTCCTCTATATACTTATTTAGTTGAAGGTGCTAGAGAAGCACTTTTAGATATGCCACCTAGAATGGAAAGTGAACTTGATCCTATCACATTACATAATATGGCTTTAACTGATCCAGAAGGACCAGGAGCTGGATTAAAAAGATTAGCATTTCTATTAGAATTGGGACCATCGGTTTGCCCAAAAGAAGCTTTAGGAAATATTCTTTTATTATGTTGTAAACATGAAATGTATGATACAGCTGCTGATATTTTAGCTGAAAATGCTCATTTAACTTATAAATTTTTATCTCAAGTATATGAAAGTTTTCACAAAATTTTTCGAGAACAATTTTTAACTTGGAAATTATTCAATTTTATTTTAGTATTTATATGATTTGTTGGATGCATTAATAACAGCTCAAACATCAACAGAAAATGCTGAAAAGAAATTGGGAACGTTAGCATCAGGTTTAGCTGCTAAATTACGTACTCTGGCAGCACAAGTTCAAGAAGCACGCGGTAATACAGATCAAAATGTTTTAAGAAATGCATTAAAAGAATATGAAGAGATTTTAGAGAGAAAGTAAATGTTTTTTGAAATTTTGGAAAAAAAAGAATTCCTCCGTAAAAAATATTTGTCTCTTTTAAAGTTACTTACCTGTAGTATTGGCAAGAGCTTGGTTATATTGGCGTGAAGATGATTTTATTGGAGCTGAAAAAGAATTTAGAACTAGTGCTGAATTTTGTTCAGAAAATCAAATATGGAGATTACATGCTGCTCATGTATTATTTATGCAAGGTGATAAATACAAAGAGGCAGCAGCTTTTTATGAACCAATTGTTAGACAATATTCACACGAGGTAAGGAACAAAAACCAATATTTATTTGAAAATTTTCAAGATTTTTAAGTTAATGTTTAACATTCATCAGTTAACTTATTCCACCTATATAATTTTAGATTATTAATGTTTCTGCAGCAGTTTTAGCAAATTTATGTGTGTCGTATATTATGACATTTCAAAATGAAGAAGCTGAAGAATTAATGAGAAAAGTTGAAAAAGCTGAAGAAGCCAAGGGGAATGCAGAAAAACAATTATTACATCTTTGTATTGTAAATTTGGTTGTTGGGTAAAGGACAAATATACATAAAATCAATTTATATTTGGCTCTTTTTATTTAATTACAATTGATTTACTTTTAGTACTTTATATTGCTCAAAATCGAATTTTGAATTTGGTTTATCAAGAATTGCACATGCATTAGAAGGTGGTTCTGGACCAAGATTATGTGCTGATACATGGATACATGTAAAACGTTGTGTTTTGGGTTTATTAACAGGTATGGCAAAACAAATTATTGTTTTACCATATCCAGCAATACAAGAAATTTTAACATTCCTTCATTCATGTGAAAGTACATACAAAATTTTGTTTTATTTATATTGGGTTTGAAATAATGTTGGAAAAATTTGTTTTAGTTCAAGGATTGTTAACACCATCAAGTATTCCAATAATACCACATGATTTTGATAATGAAATACCAACAATTGGTATGGAAGCAAGAAAACTCCGTGTGATTTTAAAAAAGCTGGTAGAATATGAAAAATAATAATTTGGCTAAATGAAAATTTTGGAAAAAAGTTACTATTCAGATTTGTACCCTAATTTTATTAATATTTGAATTAAATTTAATTTGAAAGAATCTATGATTTTCATACTCACTAACAACCATTAGGTTCCTATGAATTCCGTTATATAAATATCCTCAATGAATAAGCTAATTATTCTGTATTGATATTACGGCATGTTCGAAAAAACTATACTACAACAGAACAAATTTGAAAAAGTAAACTAGTTATCTCGTGTAGATTTGCAATGATACCAAAAACGATTTTTATCATTTAAGTTAGAACTTTAATTTCATATCTGAATTACCGGCAATCCCAAATGTAATGCTGAACAAATATTTATTCAGAGAAAATCAATGACTACGTTTAATAGCGCTTTCGTGTATACAGAGTTTCGGTTTCTTAAAATATTCAATTTTATAAAATGAAGCAAAACGAATATTTCAAATTTAATTAAGAAAAATTACTTGAATATGATTAAAATTTGAGTAAGTGTCTACATATGAATCTATATAAGACTTCAGTAAGTATGCTCTAATAGAATCTCAGCAATTTTGTGTACTTTATGCATATTTGATGTTGCATTTTAGGTTATATTCTCATAGTATTCTATATACTATGCTATAAGTACAAGTATCTTACAACTTAATGTTTCTATTCGCAATGTTAATGTTTCTATTTTGTTGTAGATTAAAATTTCACATAGACACTATACAAATGTTGATATTTTGATAAAAGTAAACATATAATGTTATATATTTAAAAGTAATGATTGTCTATGTAGCGGATTAATGTGTGAAAATGTTGGATGATTACTTCGCAAATAATGAAAACCAAATTTACTTTTTCTGTAGAAAGTGAGAATTGAGTATCGTTGTAAATAAAAATTATTATATATTTCTGGCAATTCAAAAATCAGAAATGGTTCGTAAAATGGCACATGTTAAAATAACAATTTAAACTTATGATAAACCATTGCATTTGTTGAGATTCATAACAATCTTGAATACAAATAATTTTTATGAAATTATAGCAGACCACATTGCATATTATTAGGGAGGTATTTTTTTTATCCAAAAATTCCAGTGCCGGGTTTTTATCAGGAATACGTTTTTCATTTTTGCAAATACATGCACATACCATATACCATTAAGTAAAGAGGCTGTTAATTACTCTAAAATTTGTAAGTCGTTTCATACTTTCGTCCAACACTTCAATTAACCCAATGAGAAAAGATGTTCTGCTGCATACACAACACCCTCTATTTGTATAATTCCTTTTTGGCTCATTTGGAAATTGTCAACTGCTCAATTTGAATTTTAATGGAATCTTGATTTTACATATACATACCTAATATGTATATATAATTAGACAAACTTGTTTTTAATTCTATCATAAGCGCTAATTATTAAATTTCAATTAATAAAGTTTGTGTAGACAATTTATAAGTTCTGTAATAAGAAAAATCTTTAAAAAAAGTCTTACGATGTATACTAGACAACCTATATTAAATACACAAAATGCATGAATTTTTAAATTAATTTATGACTATTAGACACTGATTTATTTTAATTTTAAACTATTAGACAAATAGCAAAAGTAAGAGAACAAAATAGCAATATTGAGTGGAACGAATGGAGAATGTACAGACGACAGAATGGAATAAAGAAATGAATATGTACATACGAGTACAATTAAATTTTTTGTAAACCTGCCAAAATTTTTCGCATTGATACTACCTATAACCTCTAAATATAAAATTTGAGAAATTAAGTATCGAGCAAGTTAAAGTGGGATATTGTAATAAAAATTCGAAAACATTTTGGTATATACGTATAGCTTTTGTTGAACCATGACCGATTCAACTGCGAGAAATTTTTATATTTTTGGACTTTTATTAAATGCATGGATCCGTATGGATTTTATTATATATTGCAACCTTGAACGTTTTAAAATTAACATAGTAAAAATTGCAAAAATATAAACAGTTGAATCTTGATAAGTGGTACTTGATTAACAGGAAAGTTAATTGTTTAATATGTTTTCGAAATCTCTTGAAATTTTTAATGAAAATCCACAATTTTTTTGAATCTCGTATTACTTTCATGCCTGTCACTTTCAGTTAATCAGAGCATACGTCAGTTTTCTTTTGCTATAAGAAATACAGGATATTGGTAAAATGACAATTGAAGCAGATTAACGTTTGCCACGTAAACTAATATTGAAAAGCTTCTATAACTGAAACAATTATATTTGTCGCTTAAAATTTCCTTATTATGCAAGTTAAACTGTATTTGAGTGATATTTGCGTGAAATACACATATTTACATCTAATAGATATGAACATATGTGTATTTGAATTATAAAATTTACAAAGTTGTAGCGGAAATTCAATAAAGCCTTTTGTAATTACAAGTAAAGTGGATCTTTCAGTGTAAAGTTTTTTGTTTTATTTATTTTGGTCTCAAAAAACTGAAACAGTAATTTAGTAATAAAATTAATATTTCTTTCGGATATTGAATTTTTAATATACATCAATGAATAAAGAGCTTTAAGCATATTTTTACAAATTTATTTCAATGTTATGTGCTACTTTTTAAACAAGAAAATAGATACAGCGAACAAAAAAATAAGAATAATTTTTATGCTATCTAGAAGTAAACCATTGGATGGAAAAGGATGAAAAGATAGCACAAATAGAGGTCCAGGTGTAGTAGTTCTTAGAATTGTACTAGTTTCCTTTAAAAATATTCATTTTTTTTAAAGAAATAAGTTTTTTATTAAGAGATGTATGTATGTTAAACTTAAAAAACTTAAATTTTGTACTTGGTGTTACACAAGTATATTATAAGCTTTGTATATCGAATCTTACATCGATAAAACCGTATCAGATGGAGTTATAATTTGCATAATTCATGTGTTTCTTTGTGAAAAGAGAGTGTAACGCAAAACCTATTTTTGTGCAGGAAAAAGAGTCAACATTTTAATTAAAATTTATTAAATTTTTCATATCCAAAATGTATTCTCTCAAATAATGAGTAGAATAGCATGCTGTTGCTAAATGAATGTGAATTATTTTAAATACAAAGTATTTATGTATATTTACAAAAATAATCTGGCTTGAATTCTATTAAAAAAGTGTGGTAAAATTTAATATATACACTATAAGTTCAGTATTGGGAACACAAGGGTACCAGTACAGGAACTCTGTTCCACTGTTCCGTATTACTCGCTTACACAAAAAATATCATGCGACAAGTTGGTATGATTGTAGCAATAATTTTCTCTTATTTTCATAATATAAACAAAGCAGCACTTCAATGATTCTTATCGTATTTGATGGTATGACGTGCGTATCAAAAAAGTGGGAGAGATTTTTATATCATGTATATAATAAATAACAAAATGTTTTGTTGAAGAAAAATACACCCTTATTAATTAAAATACGTTTATTATTTTGGACTCTGACAAACTTACAATACATAAATGCCTATATTTCTTTATCGTATATTATATTGTTGATTTTATTTGGAAAATCTTCAATTTTTATATGTAAATTCGACATAAATACTTACATATTTTGAATTTGCTTTAATTTACTTAATTTGCTTACTTCGTGTTGAATTTGTAATAAAACCAATAACTTACACAGCAATCGATATTATTCTCTGATGAGCTTTTTCTTTTTATTTTCATTGATTATTTTTGTAAAAAGTCTATAAAAATTCTGTTTAAAAATTTTATTTTATTTTATATTGTAGAATATAATATCATTGAACTCAATTAAGATATTATGTATAAATAGTACAAAATTTTATTATATTATATATACATATATGTAAAATAATTATGTATGTACATATATACATATTTATATGTATTTGCCTACATAATAAGACGTTTATAGGCGACTGTATATAATTCTGAAGATCAAAATTCATGCGCAGTTTAATAAAAGCTTTAGATGATAATATACAGCTATCACTAGCAATAGTGTAGTGCAATGTCTTCTTTGAATAAAAATTTAAAATAGAAAACTAATAAATTATTTTATAAAATGTACTGTATACATACATATAGTATGTATGTATGTTTGTATGCATGTTTGTATGTTTGTATTTGTGTACAATGAAGATCCAATTCCCTGGATAATTAAAAATTTTATTAAATTAAAATATTATATGTAGTATGAAGAACAACTAACATTTATGTAAATATTATTTTATTTAATCTATATGTAAATAATAAAATAAGTAAATAATTGATGTCAAAATAATCATTACAGCGAAAACAAAAATACATTTGTAGGTACATACATACAAACATAATATGAACTGAAATAAAATGGCAAAAAACGTATGTATGAAAGAAAATTAATCTATCAATAACAAAATTTATATCTGCCCCTCATAATTTTTTTAGTAAATAAAAATTTTTTTAAAAAAATTATGAACTATATTTTAATTAAACATAAATTTATAGTTTTTACATAATCAATTACAATGTCCGATTTTGTATTATATGAGGTTTTTTATATATGTATTTTTCTTTTGAAATAAGGCAAGAAAAATTTAAATAAAGATCTACATTTTACACTATATACAAATAGTTTACAATAAATTATAGTGAAGGTTGGTTCATGGTTTTAGCTTAATTTATTATACATGTTACAAATTCAGAATATTTTGTTAAACAAATAGACTAATTAAAAAAAAACTTATCTTTTAGTAGAAGTAAATATTGATGGAGAAAATTCTTTATCTAACATAAGAAATTTATGGAAAAAATCTATACCAAATTCATATTGTTAGTATAATTGCACTGTTATATTTTGGTAAATTAAGTACTTTTCTTTTAACATACAGTCTACATATTTGTATTAAATAGAAATAAAATAGTATTTGGAGATTTTTGCAAAATAATTTCAAAATTTGGTCACTTAACGCTCAATGAATCGAAGCTCAAATGATATAATTTGTTCTAATAATTTTGTAACCTTTTTGTGTTTGAAATAACGTTTTAATTTAGCGAAACTCCCTATATGAACCCTATGCTATTGTTACCGCAAAAAAAAAATTGCTTACTCATTTAAACTCTTTTCATGTTAATAATACAAAAAAAAACAAAACTTTCTAGTAATAACAAATTTTTCCTTAAAAAAATTTCTATTAGATTTTGGGTAATTCCGGCATTCAAAAAGAATTAAAATTTTAAATAACCTTCTCATTGCGCTCAACGACTGTAAACAACGACGATTTCTCATTAGAAGGTTGCTTATAATTGAAAATTTTCTCTGTTTCTTTGTTAATCAAATTATTCAATTTAATTTCTCGAATATAAACATTTTAATATTTAAAAGCTCTATTTTCTAGAAGTTTGTCACATCATCAGTTATTATAATTAATTCTAATAATATTAAAGCGTCAAAAGACGTACTCAGTACGTCATAATAATAATCTTTTTGAATAAATTTTAATAAATACTATTATACTTACTTTTAATTTTATTTACTTAATTAATTATGTACAAAGTATTAACAAAATCTTTTTTTTTCTCTTTTGTTATCTCTTACTGTTGTATGGCATCCCAAAAAATTAAATTTAAGCATTGTATTAGTAAAAAATATATATGAAGTATGATAATTAAAATAAATAAACAGATAAAATAAAAATATTTACTAGAATTACATTTAAAATAATAAAAATAAATTTTTTTGTTTTAAATAACAAAGCATTAATGTTGTAGCTTTCATATTATGTACTTTTTGATCTTTTAAATTAATCAAGTCGAAAGTAAAATATTTATTAAATAATTAAAAGATTCATTTAAATGGAACGCATAAATTTCAAACTTTATACATGCATACAGATATCAAATAAAACAAATCAGGGAAAGAAACTATAAGTGTCTATATAACAAAATTTAAAATATTGTAGACTTTATCAAAATTTTATATTTACATTTGATTACAATTTTTATTATTTTCTTATCGATGTTGTTATAAAATGTATCAAATGCATATCAAAGAATTCCAAAATTTATGTGAAAGCAAAAATTAATAGCTGAAAAATATTTCAATATAATATTTAATATCCATTAATATATAATAATTATTTTAGTAACTATAAAATCTTTATTGAATTTTTTACTTAAATAATATTTTACTTATTTGAAATTTAATATATGCATATGGGTTTTATATTATGTAACCAAATTGAATAAAAAGTAACCTTCAATAAAAAATTAGGTGAGCTTTAAAGCATTCATACATACTTCAGATTTTTTAACATTAACTAGTAAGAAAAAATATTATCTACAATAGTTTTAGATAAGTACTATAGGTATTTAGAAAATTAATAGCAAAAATAATCTGATTAAATATTGCTTAACAACATTTTTTACTTGCTAGGTAGTATTCTCAATGTATAACAATATTATAATAGGAATTCAGCAAACACGTGTATACTATGCACGGATAACTTTTCAGTTTATTACAAAAAAGAAACATTCGAGAATGTATTTATATACATTTACATAAATTACATACATAGATATGTTAATATTAAAAATATAGCCCCTAAAACTTGGATAGCTTATTATAATATTCAATATTTTTAATATTATTTTAAAACTGTTTTAAATTTAACTTTTCAACTATTCATAATTCAATTAACACGCATGATTGTGATAAATTTTATCAAGTTGATAATTATTTCAAAAAAAATATAAGTAAATTTAACAAATTTTTTTCTAAAGTAGTTGTACGTTCTTAGGCCGTAATATATTTAAATTTTAATTTGAGACTATAAAAGTAACGTCAGACTGACGCAATGAAAATCTTTTCATTAAAATTTACTTATTATATTATTCTTTAAATAAAATATTGTTTACTTAATTATACATGCAAAATATCATTTCATGATAGAATTCTACACTTTGAATAGAAAGAAAGAAAAAAAAGAACCCAAAAACTATCGAGCAAAAATTATTTTAAGATTAGGAAGAACCTCAGTCCGAACACACGTAAAAAAGATTTTTCGAATTTTTTGAAATTACTTAATACACTGTCTAATAAATTAAAAAAAAAAACTATTTTAAATTGTTTAGTTTATTTTAAAGTATGTATGTAAATTCCATATTACATATATCGTGAGGTCATTTGTCTATTTAGAAATTGTAAATTAAATATTTGAATGAAAAACTATAATACATTATGTATTTACGTATATAAAATAATTAAACGATAAAAATATGTATGTTCTTTTCCAGAAAAAAGAGCTTTGGGCCTGGGTTTTTTAATATACACATATACCTATGTATGTATGTACATGCATAAGTCATAATGTTTGGAAAGAAAAATTCAATAAACATCTTTGTGTTTATTATAAAAATTAAACATTCATATAAATTTAGGTACATATATATGTACACATATATAATCTATAAAAATAAAATAATGTAAGATTCTTATTTCTAAATATTTTCCAATCATTTACTTTCATCCGAAGATGTGTTGTTTATTTAAAAAATAAATATTAAGTTATAAATATACAATGGACGTAAAAAATGTTAATAATCTCAATTATTAATTTTCAAATAGAAATTATTTTATGATTTTTACGAATGTTAGTCTTTATTACTTTTGCGAACAAAGAAACAGATGTTTATACTTGGACCTGTGATTTCATTGACAAATAAATTACATTCTAGGATGACTAACTTCATTGCCTTTGTATAGAATTTTCTATAATTTTTAAGATATCTAACATAGTAATAATATAAGCTAGTTATATTTTGGAATTCATCAAAATACAAAAAAAAAATTTTCTAAAATATTTATGTAAATAATGCATATTTGTAGTTTCTTTTAATATACATTTTAAATTTATTTAAAACATTTTCGAAATTCAAAACCCTTGGATAAAAATTTTGTCATATGTTTCTATATAGATCCTGTAATAACTTTTATAAATGTGTATTTGTAAGTACGTACAATTTAAGATAATCAATAATATATGAAGGAAAATAAAGAAAATCTTTACTTTGATATAAAAAACACATGCTTGCCTCTCTTTATTCATATTACAGGTGTTCACGGATTTTAACTCTGAAAAGTAAAAAATCTAAATATAGAAAAATCAGTTTTCATAAAATGTTATTCGTATACAATAAAAAAATAGAACAATGAATTATATTTATGAGAATTACATATCGTATGTATGGATATATATAATTAAATAAGCAATACTTATATTTCTTTTGTTTTAAATATTTTTGATTAAAAAGTTAAAATAATGAAATAGCAAAATATTGATGATTGACCAAAATATGATTTAAAAGTATATTCCCATAATTCAAAGAAAAAAGCAACAAAAAATAATCGCAATATTAATCAATTGTAGATTTTTAATAGGAAAATGTATAAAAAATTGGAATTATGAATGAATTTTCATTGTAGATTATAGTTAAACCAGGTTAAACTACCTATTTTTATTAAATTAGTTTAAATTAAATATAGCCTTATGATACTTATATATTATTTCATAAAATTAGGTATCAATTTCCCAATTTTAGTTTTGAAACAAAATTAAGAAACGTTTTTCCCTTGAAAAAAATTACCTGTTTTGATAATTTACGTTTTTAACTTATTTTCATGAGCAACAACTTGCAAATATGAAATTTAATATTCTATCATCTACCTAATATATTGTGTAAATTATATTATATGTATTTATAAAAGCGCTAATTAAGCATTTCTATAAAAATTTACTTTAACATGCGGTTTATTTTAGTAAAGAATAAGCTTTATTTGAAAATAAAATTAAAGTATACAAAATATTTTTACATTACAATATATGTAGGTTTGTGTTAGCTACAGAAAAAAAATTGAAATTAATGCAAAACAGAAAATACTATAATTAAATGATTTGATTTTTTTTTTGTTGAAAGTTTTATTAAATTTTTAATGAGTTGTTTTCAATTTGAACAAAATATGTCAACATATTATAAATACTTAAGTTGTAAAATAAACTTATAGCAAAGATATAGTTATTCTAAAAATGTTAAGTTTCCTTATTTTTTTACACTTTTATTTTTCAATTTTAATTCACTTTTTTTGGTATCTCGTTTTTAATATTTTATTGCTTTACAAAAAACGTTTACCTAAACAAAATTTAGGTATTTGGTTTCAACATGTTAAATTTATTCTCATAAAACTATTTCTTTTGAAATTTTTCAAATGAAAAAAAGACTGTGCTTATTAAAATGAAAAATAAAATTAGTATATACAAATATGCATATTATATATGCATATGTATAAATAACCAAAAAGTAAAATAAAAACAAAAAATACAAAGGTATATAAATTTTTAGTTTTACTTATCGACTTTCTACTTAAGTTGTGTATCTTGCTGCTTAAGCAGCAAACGTTCTATTTAGTTTGTTTTTCTTCCTTGTTTTTTTTTTAGATTTTTGTAAAGTTGTTTAAATTTTAATCGTAATTTCTTCTTTTCTTTTTGGGGTCATTATTATCGGTATCTGATTCTTCAAGTTCAGTTTTGTTACGTCGTTTTTCATATATTAAGATAATTGCACAAAGAACAAAAACTTCTGCACAAATACCCAAAAATGGCCATAATGCTGCTAATTTTCCTTTTACTCGTACCATTGATGTGTCAGTTGCTTCTCGTTTAATACCAGATTCTGTTGCAGCATTTTTAGCAATACATTTATATTCACCAGCATCTTCTAAACTAACGTTATCGATCATAAGTATAGCATTTTCTACGCCAGTTTCATCATCTTGTACAATGAATTTGTCTGTTGTATTTGTAATTGTTGAATTTCCATTTTGCCATACAATTTTAGCGTCGGTACCAACTGCTGTACAATGTATTGTTAATTTTTCACCTTCAACGACATTAACATTTGATGGAACACGTACAACAACATTAGCTACAACCGTTATATTTTTTCTTTCACCGTTTGCTGAACATGTGTATGTACCATTATCATTTTCATTTGTTCTTTCTATAATAAATTTATTTTCGGCTGCAATAATTCTAAAACGATCTTTTATACTATCAACTTTTGATACTTCAATACCATCTTTTTCCCATGTGAGGTCACTTGAATCACCATTTGTATTATTACAACTAAGAACGAGAGGAGATTTAATGTCATATACTTTCAGTTCTCTTTCCACATTATCGTAGTTTGGAACTAGTTCAGCATTAACAGTTACTATAAATAACAAAATTAATGAAATAAAATTTTCCTTCAAGGCCATTTTTGGTTGATTTTACGGAATCCTTAAACAAATAAAAAGAAATAATTGTATTTTAATCAGTATATGTATATTTAAATAAACATTTAAGTATTCGGGTTTATGTTAAAAAGCGCTACACTATTAAGTAGGTACATGTTGGTAGGTATATCCACAAAATCTGTTAGGTAGGTAAGTATACCTACATAACTAACAACTTACCTTCCAAAAGCAATTACGTTAGAAGGTGTTTCTATCCATATGTTTCAAAATTAAAAAGAGAAACACGTTTTGTATAAAAAGGCAATGCTAAACATGTGTGTAATTCGCGAAATCATAGCGGTAACATAATGTATGTATTGTTTGTTAATACTTTTTATTAATTTCCTTATCCTTACCTACCTATTTATATTTTTACACTATAAGTTAGTACACTAACTTTAATCAGTAAGTATAATGAAAATAAATATTAATGTTCTGGTTAAACTAAAAATTGAAGATTAATTGTTTAATGATTATTTAAAATTATTACAGGAAATCTGACCTCTGAATAAACGTTATTGTAACTTCTTTACTGCGCTATAAAATAGATTTTTCAGCATATTTTTTCATTTATTAATCTTATACTTATTATCACAAGATAACTAATACTAAAGGACATTTTTGATTATAAATTATGTCAAATAGTATAAATACTGCAGATATTTTTTTTTAGATAAGGCGTTGTTTCTATAATAGATAAGTAAATTTTATTATGTACAAGTAAAGATATAGAAATACCAACATCTTCAATGCGCGCTCATTTTAAAATATTTTTTAGCATGTGATTATAATTTTATAAATTAATATTATAGTCATTCACTAAATTTATAGCTTTTCCTTATGGTAAACATTGAATACAATAGCAGAAAGAAAACACAAAAACTAAAAGGCAATATCAGTTAATGAATTTTATATGACTCATCGCACAGTACATCTAAAAATATTTTTCATCGAAATCCACTAATATTAGCTTTGCAAGTTTTATTTTCCACCTTGTTTTTGCAAATAGTTTTTACAAAAATAACTAAAATTTGCTTCCAAATTTATAGGCGAGGGCGGTCTTTGTGACATTTGATTAATATTTGTAGTGCGCCCTTGATGTTTAATTTACTTATTTTAGGCAAAAAAAAAAAAATTAAAATATAAATTTTTTTACCTTTCTTGATGTATGCCTTCAACTAATTTTTTTTTCTGCACGATCCCGAAATTTTTGAAATTAAAAAAAAAACAAATGGCTATCTTTTGTGAATTATATCGTTCTATAAAACTATCATAATAATACTAGAATAACAATAACAATTTTGTTACTACAAAAATTATTTAATTCTAAAAGCAGATTATGCAAATTGCTAAGTATTTTTATATTTCACGAAATTTTCTCTACATAACGAAAAAGTCTGACATCAGTGTCAGGTGATTTGACAATGGAAGTCAAAAAATTAAAATTATTTTCGAGTATTGTGTTGCCATTGTGTAATTTTATTAAGAAAATTGAAATGAAGCTAGCTACGTATTAGACGTTAAATATAAACCTAGTGGTAGTTTTCCGAATTTACGTGAAATAAACAGATAGACTTTTGATACATTTCAAGACATAACTTTTTTTTTATTACATTGCAATAAATTTTGCTAATTTAATTTATTTTTAGATATAATCTGGAAGTTATGCATGTAAATTCGTGCATGTATTATTGCTTATTAAAGCATGTAATTCGAAATGTTTTCCTTTGAAAGAAATGTGTATATAGTGAATTATGTAGAAATTTTGACATTAAAATGTATATGAATTTTAATTATAATTTATGTTATTAGAAATTAGCTTGAAAGTCAATAGATGTCGGTTCGTGTCACTGAAAAATTGCTTATATTATTTATTTGTACAGGGTGATTTAGCCATTTTAACATGCTTTACGGAATTTTAGGCAGCTGCATAAGCTTTAATTTAAGTCATTAAACGTTAAAAAATATTTTATGGTATTTTCATTATTTTTAATTAATTGTTACTAATTTAGTAGTGGTAATAAAAAGTGAATATGGGAAGTGAAAGTTTCTTCGTTTTACCAAAATGTTAGAATACATCTTATATATGTCTATAGTGAGCATTGCGTAAAGGTACTTCTTTGCTTTTCTGTTCTTGTAATAGTAATGTCTTTTAATTTAATTTAACAAGAATTCAAAATTTCCCGCTACAAAAGTAGTTCTTTTTATTTGTTTTTTACCCTAATTTTTATAGCTAAATAACGAACGTTGTGGAAACACAATGTGACAAGCACAGTTTTTGAAAGGAGTTTATAAAGACGAAAATTAAAATTACATTTTACAAAAAATTTTAAAATTCCAAACGCTTGTAGTTTGAATCTCAAATCATCCGTGACTGCCGCGCACTACTGCTAAGTACATAATAATGACGTCATGTATGGAAATATTTTTTGTTCTTAAAAAGAAGTGTCTAAGAAGTGTTAGTGTTTGCACAATACATAAATTCTTAACCTCTGAGATTAAGATACTTATATTTTGACTTTTGAGATTTGATATTTTTTTAAATTCTACATACATACATATGTATGTATATACATACAATAAATACGATGAGAATAAGTTAATGGTACATTCAAGTTTTGAGAATGCGGTGCTTAAGATGTAAATAAAAAAAGCTGTACTATGTTAAGAAAAGGCTAGAATATATTTTTATACTCAAGCTCGTCTTTATATAAACTCATGTCCTACTGTCGCAAGAACCCATTTATTCAATGTAACTCGAATTCGAACAGTTGAAATGCAGTTTTCCTGCAATGTGAATAGTAGTTTTCTTTCTTAAATTACTATTTAGTTTTACGCAAAATTTTCTGTTCTAAACTTACTAATTAAACAGCGACTGTGAAATATTTCCTTAGCTGCACAATATATGTACTTGTAACAAAAAAAAACCCTGCAGTCTAAACATATACATATGTATAATCGAACAAGTAAAGAATTTTACATGGTAGTCGAACTTAAATATGTTATTCGTTGACAGTAAACTAGTCTGTTTCGTTGACGTATTTTTACCTGTAATAATTTTTCAAAATATTAAATTTTTGTGGAGAAATCATTTTTTTATACGAATTTTTTAATTTATAAACAAAAAAAAAATTTTTATACATACATAGTTAACTCCATTTTTTAAAGTAAACATTTTTAGGTGACCGAATTAATAGGACGCTGGATCGTACTTACTATGCGCATAGGCCTTTATATGCTTTATATATGGAGGTTTTTGTGATAGATTTTGTCTATTCGGATGCGTACTTTTGATTTTGAAGATATTTTGCAAAAATTTAAAAATCACTTAAAACTTAATAGAGATAAAATAATTTTGTAATACTTTATTTATCGATTATGTTAATTGGTAGAATTTGTTATACAAATTCAGTCTAAATGAAGTCCGTGTTCTATATAATAAATTAGTGATAAAAAGCCGTATATTAACAATAAAACTGATGTCCTTTTGAATATGAATATTAAAAATTATAATGGAAAATAGTCTTTTATTGAAAAACTAAACAAAAAAAAAAACATTTTTTTTAAACATAACAGTTTTTCTTTTTGTACATACACCTATATATATGCATATATGTATATAGATATATGTATATATCAATATATTCATATAAATATATAATATTATAATTATTTTTAAATAAAAAGAATATTTACGAAAGCAAATTATTATTTTATTTTTTTTTGTGTGCAAATTTTTGCAGCAAAAATTAATAAAAATAAAAATTTTTTTTTCATATTAAAAATATATTACGAGTATATGCATATATTTCTACATATGTACGTTACATACATAATCTATCAACATACGTATAAGTAATTTTTTCCTGATTGAAAAATTTCACTACATATAGCTAGTCAATAATAATTGAATGACCATGAGTTCATTTAAAATTTATTGATTTTATTGAAATACAATCATATTTGAGTTTATTCAATTTATTGAAATATTTGAATAAGAAATTTGATAATTTTCATATCCTATTATGTATAGTTTTGACCTTCAATTAAACTGATGTATTATTAATGAATTTTGAGTAAGGGAAAGACTTTATTTTTTTTAATTTTTATTAAATAAATTTGTACATTTAAAATTTTTTATATAAAATATAAAAGTTTTTATTGTATTTTATATGGAAATTATTAATATTAAAATATTCTTTTATTTTATATTTGCCTATTCAAAAATTTAATTGAAATATTTAATTTAATATATAGCATCTGATAATTTAATTTAGAAATTAAAAAAGAACGTTCAATATGAGTATGTTTATAATATTTTGTGTTCCTTATATAAGGTGATATTTTTTTTTGCAGAATATACCATAGGAGATAAACGACATACGAAAAACGTTAAATGTGTACATACAATTGGAGTGTACTTTATACAAGTAAATTATAAATGAAAACATATTTGAAAAGATTTTAGAAGACGAAAACATATAGCGAATATGCGACAGTCGGGGCAATACACATGGTTTGTATTATTTTTTATAGTTTTATGCGTGATTGCGGTTTTCCAAAAATGTTTTACCAAGAGCATTTTTTTTTTAAATTCATACCATTGCGGGTAGATATTGTTTGGTTTTAATTTAATAACCCGACTTCTTAGCTTTAGTCTGATACCATTTGCTTCTAACTTATAATTTGCTTACAATGCGTAAAATGCGTAAAAATTCTTTGCGTCTTAGTTGTTTTTTTAGTGACTTGGTTGCTGTAGACTTTCACTTTATCATGACAATTGTTCTCTATTTGCTTTTGATCAATCAACCTTTATTTTTGTAAGGTTAGAACTTAATAACTTTAATTGCTTAATTTGATTCATTTATTTATTAATTTAATTAATTGATCACTTTACTGCAATTGAAAGATTTGTGTAAATTGGTTTGAAACAACAGAACTAAGGAATATACTAAGGTTTAAAAGAATAAATTTTCTTCTTCTTATTGTACATAATTAAGAAGTGAAAAAAAAGCATTAACTTCATTTTTACGTACACAAAGATCTAACTTATCTTTTTTAAAATGCAAAATTCATGAATAAAGTTTGAGATTTAAATAAATAAATTAAAAATTTTTAAATTTGTAACATATTGCAAAACCTTTTCTTCTATTTAAATTTTACAAAAACTTCTTTTAAAATTTTCTTATTCTTTTTTTTTGGATAATGTTAAAGTTTTTACTTAAATATTTTTTAATATTGATATTGCGTTTATAATCACTGTACTTACAAATTACTGTATAGAGTGACTAAATTTCAAAAGGAAAAATATTCCAAATGAAATAATACAAAAAATTATATTTTTAATTTGAATGGCCTAATGGCATTGAATCCATCAAATTTACTGCCCAATTATTAAAAATTATAATTCCTTAAACGACGCTGTAAAAGCAAAATGTAAGAAAATTACTGAATAACAAATTCGGCAATAAAGTGTTAGTAATCATGAAAAAGCTTATTGGTTTCTGAATAGATAGTTCAATGTATATAGGATGTCCAGCCGAGCTTAAAAATAATATTTTATGATGATATAAGTAATACCAGAACTTGTACTAAGGTTCGCCCTCAAAGTAAATCTCTTATTTTTCCTTATAATAAATTGAGAAATAAGACAGATTAGAATCAATTTAGTGAACTAAATTTAAAGTTCATGGAATTCTTTTGATGAAAAATCGTTGGTGTAAATCATTTTTTTATTTTAATTTTGAAAAATATCCTTATTACTTTTGGATCGTCTTGCACGATTTTATCCTACTGTTTCGAAAATACCATTGACTTTCCAAAGAACTTGGATACACACAATTTTTTTCACCATGCTTTATTTTGGACAGATGATAATTTATGAGGATTTAATGACTCAAATGACTTTAAAAATGTTTCCATGTCGTCACTTTATTTTAGCACTATAGGTAACTAATATTATTTTTAAAATTAATGCAAACTTGCATTTAAGGATTTATTACTATATGATAAATTTACTTTAATTCAATTTTATGTGCAATTAATTTACTAAATAATTGAAGTTATTTCATACTAACTTGTATTACATAAGATTATTTTCATTGGACAAATTTCGACAGACTATATGTAATATAAAAATTTTCCATTTATTTTATAACCAAGTACTTAGCAAAAAAAAAAAAACAAAAAAGGATAATGCACATAAAATATTTAAAAAAAAATTGCCGATTTTTCTTTTTAAATTCAACATTAAATTCACACTAATGCTTAATTCATACCTTTGAGAACAATGACGTTAGTTTTATCTATTCGAAAAAGAGAAAAAGAAAAATTTTGTTTGTTCCTTTACTTTAAAGTGGAGAAACAAAAACTTGTTCTTCTCTCTTCTCGTTGATTTTTTTTATTGCATATACCAAA